CGGCCCCATAGCAGATCTCAGTGGGAGCCGAGAGAAACAGAAGGTAAAGAAGAAACAGCTTCTCCTCTTTATTTATAGAAAGGGACCAGACATCTCTCAGCCAGGCAGGGCTGAGTGTGAGCAGTGCCTGCTCCCATTGTTAAAATCATGCTGGCAAGGCATTCCTGAGCAGCCAAGCAGCTTTACGGTTATCACTGTTTACCTTTTGGTGTGATATCTGTGTCCTGGCTGGAAATTTCCACTAGGCTCCACGACTCAAGCACAGCTGTTGATGTCCATTGGTTATCGCTGTCTCAACACCTCTTCCACCCATGGAAAATGACCTTATCTTAAAGCTAGATAAAAATAAATAAAAAATAAACAAGAGACGACTAATTTCTGATGGGTGTCGCGTGGAAGCCTTAAGGTCTCTTTTCCCTCTGCCTTGTGCCTAATGTATTTCTTCCTCCACGTGATGCAATGAGTAGTCTGAAATGTCTGCTTCCCTGCAGGAACCTGAAGGCAATATACAGGTGCCAGCCAGGTCGGCTCTGGGTCTCCTTCAGCCTCCTCATCCTCCTCATGGTCTCGTTTCAAGTTGTGGAGAAGCTGCAGCCTACCAGGTATGTCACAGATAGAAGGGCAAACCTGCACCTCATCCTCCAGCCCTTCACCAATGACTGATAGGGGTTAAAACACACACGACCAAGAGCACAGGAAAATCTGGGTGGGAAACAACCCCACGGGGGCTCTCTCATCCAACCCCTGCACCCTGCTCGGAGCATCTGAGGTCAAACAAGGCTGCTCCAGGCTTTGTCTTGTCTGGCCTCAGCACTTTGCAGGATGCAGGCTTTGCTCCTTTCCTCCAGTGCAGCAGGGCATGACAATGTTGATGTTGAAAGTCCTTCACATCCTGCATCCACCTCGACCTGCCAGGCTGGTCGTGCCAAGTGGTTGAGCTCTACATCCAGCAGCAGTACTGCTCACCCTGAATAGAGAAAGAGGAGCATTGATTTGGGATGGCTGCAGAGGAGCTGCCCTCCTTGCATGCTCCCTTCCTTCTCTGCCCCTTTGTGTTGATTACCAGCAGCCCCACTCCCATAGGACTCTTCCTGCAGTGGGCAGGAAATCTCCTCATGCACTTGTGGAGAACAGTGGAGGGCAGGGCAATTCCCAGGCAGCAGAAAACAGTGCAACCTGCCATTGCCCCAGCTGAGCTCACCAGCACACTCAGTGCTCCTAGCAGGGATCCCATACCTCCTGCTGCTGGTTCATCTTCACTCTGTTGCAGGAATTGTCACTGTGAGCTGGAGCATGCCCTTCAGCAGACCACCGACCACAGCCAGGAGAGCCCTGACTATGTCCTCCAGACCCACGGCCCGCCAAGGGAGGATGATCACCCATACAGGCAGAGGAAGGCTGTGCTGGAGCCCTCTGAGAACACACAGGATGATTTCCAGATGCACCTTTACTACAGACGGGTGACACCACAGGAGAGCAGCCCAGACAGAGAAGAGGGGGACTGGGCTTGGCAGCCTGCAGAGAGCAGCAACAAGATGAAAGCCCATCTTTCAGCCCCACAGCTGAAATCTCAGCTCTCCAGCCCCAGAAAAGCAACCAGAGGGGATATATTTCCAGGTGTTCCCGAAAGTGCCACCACAGCTCTGGGAGATACTGATGACGGTGTCCTCTTCACAAACAGCATTGCTGCAGAGGAGCACAAGAAAATAATGTCAGCCCAGATGATGCGGGTGACATTGCAGAGCCCACCTCAGCATCGAGCCATGGGTTCTCCACCCCGACGTTGGGGTGACTCAGTCAAACACCCCGTGCTCGATACAGCTCAGCTCCTGAGGGCAGGTGACTTCTATAGGACAGGGCTGGAGAGAGGACTGCTCCCAAGCTGGACAGAAATCTCTACAGATGTGGTGGCCCTGGGGGATGGTGGGCAGGTAGAAGACGTCTTCTTTCAGAAAGCGTGCAAACCCAAGACCAACATCGTTTTCCTGAAGGTCCACAAGAGCGCCAGCAGCACTGTCATGAACGTCCTCTTCCGCTTTGGTGAGATGCACAACCTCACCTTTGCCTTCCCACTCAGGGGCGGCCACCAGCTCTTCTACCCACGCCACTTCATGGCGAGGTTCGTGGAGGGCTTCTCCCCTAGGAAGCCTCCTCAGTTCAACATACTGTGCCACCACATGCGCTTCCTGCGGCCTGAGGTAAGGGGCACAGCCTCCGGGCCTTGGGAGTGGGGCAGGAACAAGGTGGGGCACCAGGAAAGCATGGAGGCGTTCAAAGATCACACAATCATAGAACAGCTTGAGTTGGAACGGATCAAAGATCATCTAGTTCCAACCCCCTGCCACAGGCTGAGTCACCAACTGCTAGATTGAGCACTGGATCGGGTTCCTTATGGCCTCATCTCCAACCTGGTCTTGAACACCTCCAGGGATGGGGCATCCACAGCTTCTCTGGGCAGACTGTGCCAGGGCCTCACCACTCTCTCAGGGAAAAACCTTCCCCTGACATCTAATCTAAATCTCCCCTCCTTTAGTTTAAAATCATTTCCTCCTATTCTTCACTATCTACCCATGCAAAGAGTTGATTTTCCTCCTGTTCACAATCTCCCTTTAAACAAAGGGAAGCCATAACAAGGTCTCCCTTGCAACCTTCTCTTCTCCAATCTGAACAAGCCCATCTCCCTCAGCTTGTCTTTGTAGGAGAGGCGCTTCAGCCTTCTGAGCATCTTCATGGCCCTCCTCGTGCATCTCCTGAGGGCTTCTGTAGACAAACTTGATGAAACCATTTCTGCTTTTCCAGCAAGCAGGTCCCTTTACCCTGCCCCACCTTTAAAACTCCATTTTTTCTCTCTGCAGGTACAGAAAGTGGTGCCCAGCACAGCCGTCTACTTCTCCATCCTGAGGAACCCCGTGCAGCTCATGGAGTCCTCCTTCGTGTACTACAAGGGCACGTCGGCCTTCTCCCGCGCCCGCAGCCTGGAGGAGTTCCTCAGCCAGCCCTACCGCTTCTACAACCCCAAGGCCGGCGACAGCCATTACGCCAAGAACCTCATGACGTTTGACTTCGGCTTCAACCCCGACGCGGAGGTCACAGCCAAGAGGGTGAACTTAATGCTGAAAGCCATCGAGGCATCCTTTGACTTGCTGCTCATCTCAGAGTATTTCGACGAGTCCATGGTGCTGCTGAAGGAGACGCTGTGCTGGGACCTGGACAGCGTCGTGTCCTTTCCACTCAACAGCAGGGACAGCAGCACCAGGTCCCCGCTCTCTAGCATCACAGCCGAGAAGATAAAGGCCTGGAACAGGCTAGACTGGGAAATCTACACCCACTTCAATAGGACCTTTTGGGAGAGGATCGAGCGGGACGTCGGGAGGGAGCGCATGTGGCGCGAGGTCAGGGCGCTGCGACAGAGGCAAGCTGAGCTGGCGAGGACCTGCCTGCAAGGGACGGGCAGCGTGGGCCCAAAGGACATCAAGGACTCCTCCCTGAGGCCGCTGCAGTACGGCAACGCCAGGATCTTGGGCTATAACCTCAAGCAGGGCTTGGACGAGGCGACGGAGCACATGTGCCGGCGCCTGGTGACCCCAGAGCTGCAGTACAGCACTGCTCTCTACAAGAAGCAGTTTCCTCCAAATCCCCCCCAGAATACCCCCCAGAGACCCCTCCAGAAGCCCCCTCAGCTTGCTCCCTCGCTGCAGGGCATGCAGCAGGGCAGAGCCATGCGGTACAGGCTGGAGGGCACCCGGCACTGAGCCCCCATCCCGGCCTCGTTCTCCAGCTCCTTCAGCTGAGGACGGCCAACCACCCACCCCTGGGCTCTGGGGTCACTGCTGCCATGGTGCAGCCTGGGTGGGATATGAGGTCTGCAAGGCCCTGTTGCCCTTGACCACCAGAGCCCCAGAACAGGCCCCGTTGTGGGCCCTATGGACTTACCTCACTGTGACTCCTCTGAGGTCACTCCTGAGCCAGCAAGGATGAATCCCAGCCTCCGTGGGAGGAGGGGATGCAGGGAACGAGGAGGATGGCAGCACTGGGGCTGCTTGTCCCACGGTGAGAGACTCAGCAGAAATGGGACGCTAAGCTGTTATGATGCCAGGAGGCAAAACAGGCTGCAGCTGGAGGTGGTGAGGGGCCAGGCTGTCCATCAGGGCTTCATTTACACCTCGGGAATGCTTCTGTCTGTCCAGCTACATCTATCCTCCACCGCGCCTCAGTGCTGGAGAGCAGCCTCTTAATTAAAAACAACAGTGTTCACTGTCACTCCTATTAAACTCCCCTTCATTATGGTAGATGATCTCAGCAGCCCAACAAAAAGACACTTCCGTGGGAAAAAACAAAACATTGCATGAGCATCTCTGTGCCAGACATCCCAGCCCTCTGCTTGGAGCAGCTCTAGGAATGCTCCATGCTCTGCACAGAGAAAAAAATACTAGCATCAGTCATGGTGAGGCACTCAAAGAAAAAGCAGGACCAGCAAATCAGTTCAGACAAGAAACGAACCCCATCCCTAAAAGCTTTCCCAGAACCTTGATGTCTTTGCTCTAGGCTCCGTAGCTTAGATCTGAAATAACCTTGGTTCAAATCAGGATTTTTCATCTTGATCAAAATGGAGAGATCCTGAAAATGCCCCATTTTCTGCACCATTTCCAAACCAAAAGATGTTCAGAAAAAAAACTGGTGGAAGATCTGAGTTCCCCACAACCAATTGGACAGGGAACCTTGAGGGTCTCTGTGTCCAGCAGGAGAGTAGGGGAGGACACATCACACACCTGGGTACCAAACCCACCTCTGTCACCATCACTGCAGCTGGGTGTCATTTCATTACTCTGGTTGCCTCTCAGCTAATCAGGGCTGGATCCTGCCTGCTGCTGAAGGAAGGAGCAGGTCACCTTCAGCCCATGCTTGGGCTCCCATGGAGGTCATCAGGAATTTTGCATCCAGAGAGTCTGTGCTGGGAAAGAAAAAAAAAAATCTCCCTCCCTCTTCCCCAAGCAGATTTCTTCAATTTCTGGAGGAATGACACCACTCGCCTTAGTGCCAATTGCAACATTTATTTCACAGAGCGCTGTGTTAAGCAGAGACATTTCACATAGCACAGAGAGCAGCCCAGGGCTGGGACTGGCGGGGGTCTGCATGCGACCACCCACCTGCACCGCATACCAGAGCCACGTATTTGAACCAAAGATGCTTTACGAACCCATTATTGTCACCTTGCAGCTCCCCGGCTGCATGCAAAACACAGGCTAAAAACCACACTGGGGAAGCAGGGCGTGCTGTGCACTGCTGCTGTGAATTGCAGAGCATTTTAAAGCCTTCTCCCTGAGCTGTGCGATTTGTGTCCACAAATCTGTGTCCACAACTGATTTGTGTCAGTTGAACTCAAATAACACCAAACATTACAGATAGCTTCCTCCTCATCCCAAGTCTCCGAGACTTATTACACTGTTTTTATGGCCATAAGAGACACAGACAGATTATTTCAAACATGGCATGACGCAACCACCTGGGAGTTGCCCAAGCGTGCCCACGCAATGGTCCTGAGTTTCTGCAAGCTTCCTGCGTACACCAGACAACCAGTAATTTCTGCAAACACATTAGTTTCCCCCCCACGACTGGCATTGTAGGCTTGGGTGTACAAAATGCTCCACACCAGAACTGCTCCCAGCAGAGGGGCTCAGACACGAGGCGCTGTGCTGCTCTTCTCCCCTTTTCCCTTCTGCCGCTGCTCTCCATCTTCTGCATGTGTCACCCTGGTCTTGGGTATCTTGTATTTGCTCTTCTGGCCATACAGCAGGTTTTTTTGGAAGAACCTTGGGATGTTGCCTTGGTAGAGCAAGAGGGCGGCAAGCATACCTGAAACGAGAGCGTGCCTTCTCGTGTGCATGCACTCTCACTACATGAGGCTTACGGTGACCCAGAAGGGCTGTCAGCTCTTTGCTGGGAAGCATTTGGACAGTGGGATCCACCCCTGACACAGCTCACCTGTGAGGGGCCCCAGCCAGTACACCTGGATGTAGTCCCGCAGGCTGCTCCCCGCGCACAGGAAGGTGCTGGCAGTGGCCAGGGCAGGGTTGAAGAAGGCTCCTGTGGCTGGCATGGCTGCGTGGGGAGGAAAGCAGGGCTGTCAGCATCCTCCCATGTGCCAACACATCACCTGCTGCCCAGACACCCTAATCTGCCGTCCACCCCAAAGTAGAAAACAAACATTGTGCAGCAGTCATCCCCTCTCAGCTTGAGCCCTGGGGGAGGGAAGAGGGGCTGCTCCTCCCCGTAAACCAGGCTGCGGGGGAAGGAAGGGGTGCACTCACCTACGTAGGTCAGGAAGGTGACAGTGGCTGCCAGGACAGGCACCCGGCACACAGCAGGGCTGCGGCGCAGCCTGAGGAGGATGAGGTGGAAGAAGAAAGAGCAGGCAGCCTCCACCAGAGCTCCAATGTGGGGGGACGTGTGGATGGAGGAGCTGCACTCAGAAGCCATGAGGTTCTGGATGAGGTGGAGCTGTGTCAGCTCCCAGGACCAGTAGAGCTTGGTGAGGGCCCAGCCCATCCCTGCACCCACACACTGGACCAGTAGTTTGGCCACAGTAGCCACGGAGCCGCATTCGAAGAGAAGAAACTCCTGGAGAGAAATGGTGGGGTTGGCAGCTGCTCCATTTGCACAGGCGGTGTGAATCGCAAAGAGGAGGAAGAGCAGAGTCAGGACCACGTCGGGGCCGAGGCCGCCCCACGGGCCGATCTCCAGCAGCATCCTCAGCTCCAGACAGCTCGAGCACAGCTGTAGTGAGCCAGCCAGCTCTGCAGCCAGGCACCCCAACAGTCCCGGGGCCAGCAGCCTCTTGGAGAGCCGCCTGAGTGCCTCACACGTGCCAAGTACCAGGAAGAAAAAGGCGATGGAAACGTTCAGGCCAGCCATAGTGAAAGGCACACGAGGAAGAGACAGAGCCACGCAGCTTTCAGCCCCCGGGAAGGAGCAGAAAAGCCTCCAAGCCTCTGTTTTATAAGGTCGTGCAAAAGCAAACGTGGCACCTGCCCAGCGGCCAGGAGGCTTTGGGAAACACCACACATGTGAGCTGCAGGAGGCATGGGGACAAGTGCTGCCCAGAGCTGCTCCCGTCAAAATGTTGCTTCCCATCCTCGCCTCCTGCTCCAGCACCCAGCTCTGCCTGCTGCTGTGCTGTTTACCAAGCACTGGGATGCAGCTCAGCTATTTGAGGGTGCCAGCACACACCCCTGCTCCTCTCTGAGTGCCTCTTTCAGGCTACTTCTTCAGGTCTCCCAAAAAAAGAAAAAAATTCTTTGTTCCCCAACTCTGTATTTTTAACAAGAACTGGAGTAAAGTTGACTCCATGATTTCCCTGCACCTCTATTAGGGTGCCCAGGGGCTCAGTGAAGCCTTCCTTCAGCCAACACGAGAGCTTGTCTGGCATTCTGTTCCCTGTCCTTGTCCCCACTGGGACCTCACAGTGTTTGCTACTGGCACTGGCTGCACTCAGTGTGTGCCCACAGGTGGGTTTTAGTGGCAGGGACATTTTAGCTCCTTCTGCTGGATGGGATCTCTCCCAGCTGCACTGGCAGAACTGCTGTCACCATCAAATAATGACAGTGCTTCTTGGGTTCTGCCCACGTTTCCCATCCTGACAGTGGGAACAGCAGCTCACTCCTCACCAACAGAATTCCACAGGGTAAGCGTCCCTGTATGATGGGAACCAATACTGCTTTCCTTCCTCAGGACATTTATTTCCCCAGGCACTCACCCAGCGGTGGTTTTGGGAAGGTTCCTGGTAAGAGCAGCACACAGTGCTTGCATTGGGAACCTTGGGAAGCCCAAACCACTGTCAACAACTTCTCCTCCAAACCCTCCTATCCAAAACTGCTGGGCTGCGGTCAACCTGCCTCAAAACACATCACCACTTCAGTTTTTAACCTATTTCTCCCAACAAAACACAAGTGTGCATCTTTGGCCTAATATAAGCACACCTTGCCCAAATACGGAAAGATAAAACATGCTTCAAAAGACTGAAAACTTTTTTTTTTTTTTTTGGCTCAGTGAAAATCCTAGCATTTTAAGAACTGCTCAAGGTATCCAAAACCTATTTCCCATCCACCATCTGTAACTATGGCTGTGGCATATCCTGCAACTGTGCAATGCTTAACTCAGGCTTGAGAGAGCAGCTGGGCACAGTGCCATCACGCTGCCCTGTCACATCAGCATCTTCTCTTTTGATCTGCTATTGTACCAAGCTGGATTCGATGCTCACGAGCCATTCACAAAGCACCAGGATCTCGAGCCTGAGCACTGAGTTGCGCTGCTTCTGCTCCTCCAGTCCCATCTTCCCTCCTACTCACTTGATGCATCTCCACATCACTTGGTTAGACCTGATGCTCTCAGACATCTTTTCCAATCTTAATGATTCTCCGATTAATTTTCTCATCAAGTCCAGCCTGTTTCAGTAATCAGATCAATACAATCAATTGAAATGCAGTTATGATGTGCTGGAAGATGTTCTCCCTGCAGGCACCAACAGATGGGTAGAAAAGGGAAAAAGCAATGCCACCACTACAGTGGGGGAACAGCACGAGAAGCTCTACCTCTGCTGCTCTTCTCCCTTGCCACAGACCGTAAGGAGAAAATTCACTGTTGTTACTTGTTTGAAAAGTTTCCATCAGGCTACAGTTCGAAGTAGGGGGAGATCTTTGAGAAACCCCTTCCTCTGCAGAGTCAATAATTTAGCTGAGCTCGAATCTCACATCCCGTTCCCACACGACTGAGGTCTGCAAGATACTGCTGGGACAGTTATTTTCACTGCAAACAGTCTTCATTGCAAAGTGCAAGTTGCAAAACAAGGAAAAGGTGCAGCTGTGCAGGTCGCTGGGAGCATGCAGAGTGCTGTGCTTGTACACGAGCCCCACGAATCGCAGCCAAACCCAGCGCTGCTCCTCACAGCACTGCAGGAACTCTCACTGGAAGTGAAGACCTGTTTGTTTTTCAACCATCCTGTGTTTAACCAGCATCCTGCTGGTGTGGCCCAAAGAACTGTGCTCAGCTCTGTGCTTTAATCCACCGCAACTCAACTGCAAGACATTTTCCCCAACTTTACAGCAAGACTGCATTGCTTTAACCTGATGCACAATATCCAGTACATAAAGAACTGATGAAAAAACAATGGGTGGTTGCTGCTTTTAGTCAAGGCCACGTGTAAGAAAGTGAAAAGCAAGTTCTTACAATCCTCACTTGGATTTATCAAGCAAGGACAAGGAAGTTTCAACCTGTGCAAACTAAAACCAAAATCCTGCTCACCTCAAAGCAACTCAAGTGTCAATATCAGCTGAATTAGTTCTACTAAGCACCTTCTCTCCTCCTGTCAGCTGTTTCCACCATAAATTAACGCAAACCTCAGTTAAGAACATTTCTTATGTCTAGCTGAAAACATTTCCAAACTCAGAGTGTTTCTTCACTTTCCTCTGTCAACAGTATGAGCAAGGTTCACATAATATGCGAGAAAGGGAACAAGGTGATTTCCCAACAACACATGGGAAATGCACAGTATGGGTACTTTGATATCCACAGCCAAGCCAGAAACATCATCTGGGTTTCAACTGAACCAACCCTAAGCCCAAAAAAAGCACATTTCAATGTCCTCTTCTTTAACTGGATTGCATTTTCATGATTCCAACCAGAAGCGTGAGCAATAGTGGAAGATGCAATGATGATGAACTAAGCTGCTGCTTTACTCCACTTGCAAAAAGAGCACGTGATCTCTCTTCAATGATGGATGAAGTGTGTGCTCCAGACCCTCTCTCCCATATGCTGCTCCAAAGCATGGTGCAGGAGGTGCAACGATGGCAGCAGCGTGCAGGGATAGGTGCATGTGAAGCTGTTGAGTAATAATATTGAAAAAGAAACAGAACAGGCTAGTATAGCATAAAATTACATCCACCACCATTAAAGCTCAGTTACAAACCAATTCTGCTAATCTCATTAAGACCTCCAAACTTTTACTCTTTCCAGCTATTCTTGTCTTAGAAGACATGGGGAAGGGGAAGAAAAAGATTTTTTTTTTTTTTTAGAAGTTTATTTCTAGCCCTGAAAGAACAGTTATTAAACAAAGTCAACAAATACAGTAGTTAATATTGCAGTAACAATTAAATAACATAATGGGATTAAATTACACAAAAGGCAACATTAAAATCTGAAGACAGTTAAAAAAATAAAGAGAAAGCTTGCACCCACTTCCATTTCCACTGATAGCGTGAGGGACAGAGGGAAAACGGACCAAAGACATATTCAACACCAGCTGGAGAGACTTTATCAGCCTTCTGGCTCCCCCAGCCACCCTCCACCACAGGAGCTGCCTTATGTCACAGTGCATGCTCCCAGCACCACGGCTGCTTTCCATGAGCAACCCGCTTTGTTCGACGGTAACAGAGATCCCAAGAGTTGCACATTTCCTGCACACGTGCATCCCAGCCACGAGCTGCCCAGCGAGTCACACCAATTACAGGGCATCCCATACACATCACACACGCATTGGATTACAGGCCAATCTGGGATCCTACACTGGCACCCAAGAGAGCGAGACATGTGGGAACCCCAGCACTTTCTAAAGCAAACTCTTCCTTTCCAGCATCTACTCAAACTCTGGCTGTTCTGTTTGTCTATGCTAGCCAAGTCGAGCAGCAGCAAGTCTTAAAAATGCTCATCTCCATTCAGGGAAAAAAAGCATGGCTTGCATCTTTGTTTTGCAGACATGCAGGTGACATTGGCAGAGAAACCTTCAGACACACAGAAACAGAGCACAGCCAACCCCCTCATAGCTCTCCCCTTCTGCCAGCTCAGCTATTCCCAGCTCGTCTCTGACCCCACCTTGCAGCACTCCTCAACTCAGAGCTAACACCATTCCAGCAAGCATCAAGATATGTTTTGTAACTCGGGCTGGGCTAAGTCTTGTTTGCTAGGATGACTGTAAGCTTGGAAACCACCTCCTAAGTAGACTAAATTGGACAATTTTCATAATACAAGTTTAAAACCGTTCTCATTCATCAATAAAAGTGAACTAATAAGTTAAAATTACTTATGATCTCATGTTTTTTTTTTTTCTATTTAAAAACTTCTAAATTTATCACAAGTTATACTTATCTTACTGTCTAGACTGTGCCATCAAAGAAAAAAAAAGATTAAAAAAAAAAAAAGAAAAAAGAAAGAAAGAAAAGCTCCCACCTTAACTCTGGCACAAGGAGTTTCACAAAGTCCATTGCCAGCAATGGACAAAGAGGGAATCATCAATAAGACAGGTTTTTTCCTTAGCCAAGCTTCCTTGCTACTTCACTGATCAGGAAGCCGGACGCATTCAAACCAAGAGCAATGCCATTCTAGTGTTTACAGCATCCATGGCCTGCAATACATTTTGCCTGGGAAATGCATCTAGATTTATGTGCCTGGAATAAGACACTGTCTTGAAGTTAAAACCACAGCTATTCTTGCACATACAACTAGAGAGATTTTGTCCTCTGACGGTGCAGTTAACATAATGTACTTGGGTTCCTACCACAAAAGAGCAGAACATAAACTGAGTGGTGGCACTGCAGATCCCTGCACAGTAAGGCACCTGGGTGGCACAAAGCCATCTCCTAGAAGCTGGTGAGTCACTGCCAACATTTCGGGACCGCAGTCCTGCTCACCTTCCCTCACCAACAGACACAGGTTCAGCAGATCTGGCTGGCTGCTTTCAGCTCTGAGTTCTGTCATACCTTGGCTACCAGTCCCCAATTTTTTCTATCACTGTACAAAATTATCTGAAAATGACATCTACCTTCTGCCAGCAACGTTTGTAAAGGTGTGTATAAATTTTATTCAGGGTCCTCTGTTAATACCCAGCAATAACCCTATCCATCCCAGGTCCTGCCCACTGCAAAAGTGATAAAATCCCAGTAAAGTAACAGTTATTCATTCACAGAATCATTTGGCACATTGTAACTACAGTTAGTTCTTCATTAAACTGTTTGGGAAGTTGAAATGCATAGACTGTAGCACTAAAAGAAGCTGGGGGCACAGGCTCTTTTACACTCGCCCCATTAACACACCAAGAAATCACAGTCGCTGAAGGCGCTCACTGTCCCTCAAAGGGAGGCACTTTTTCTTGCACTGAATGTTCAACTTCAGCCACTCAGGCTGCTGTTGTTTGCAGTGAGAAAGGGTCAGTGTGATGATGCATCAAGTCTCTTCAGCTTCCAACCAGCCAGTTAAATAAGCCCCGTGGATTTCTGAAGGCACTGTTCTCCCATCTCAGCCTCCGTCTTCTCAGAACAGCATTTTGGCATTTCCAGGTGTTTGTAATCTTCTGTTTGAGAAAACCTGCATCTTCAGTGTCCTCAGATCTGATGACTTGTTTTGATTTCATTAATACAAACGGAGCACATACAAAACTGGAAAAAAAATAGCTCTAATACTTAAATTCTGACAACTCCATATGTTGATGCATTACTTGCTTGGGGGAAAAAATTACAACATATACAAAAATGTATTTGATACAAGAAAGAAAATGTAAAATAAAAAGTCAAAGGCACCAGCATAACTTCCAAAGCCCAAGTCAGAGCAAAGATGCAATACATGTTTCTGAACCACCCACCACACCAAGCAAAATACCCCTTAAGCTTCTGGCCAGCGAGACTAATGGGAAAAAGAACACACAGGAAGACAGCTGGAATTGTTTTCTTGCCCTGACTATAGCTGATCACTTGATCATAAATAAACTATCTGACCCTTACCTACATATCCATAAACTGACATCCAAAGACTTGACCAATCATGAGGTTTCTACAAAGTAGCCACATCTTTGATTAATAGTCCACAGAGCACAGGCATATAAAAAGCATTTGAATACTTCTCTTCCCCCTCTCTCCATACATGTCTGAAAAAGCAAAATATATCTCATATTGTGATTTCTTAAGTAGCCACACTATTAAACAGTTGAGTGACAGCTAATCTGCATAAGGAACAAGGGGCAAGATGTACCTTCACATTAGTCACATTTGCCATGAATCCTGTCATTTGGGAGCTTACTAGAGCAATTTACAGGTAGAGGGGAGGAAGAGGAGAATGAAAGAGATCAGCTGGTAAAATTAGTGCTGCTCTCTGAAAGCTTGAATTGGTCATTCAAGTACTAAAAGCACCCACAAGGGTACAATGAATGGGAGTTGTTACAGTAAAGTCATTAAAGCCCTTAAAACCCTGGGCATGCTAAGTGGCATTTCTGGGCTGTCTGGAGAAAAAAAAAATATAGGAGAAGAAGGGAAAAAAAAGCCAGTAATTCAGTCCTCAATTCCTTCTGGACCCCAGAAAGGGATCACTAGATTCACCACAATTTATGTCAGGTGTCTTCTGGATGAGAGTTGCTTCCCTTTTGCAGATGTTCCCCCCGCCCCACCCCACCCGCAAATCTCTTCCCTCCCACCAGAAGTGTAACAATTTCATATATTAAAAAGATTTGTAAAAAAAAAAATAACAAAAACAAATGTAGGCCATGGCAATAATGTTAGCGGTTACTCTTCATTGCTTCTTTGGCTGCCAGGATCAGTGGCGTCAAGCTAGACAGAGGTTTGGCCAGTTTCAAGAAGGGATGCTGCCAGGAAGAAAGAAGCACAGTAAATTAGTGAAAGACAGTTTAAAAAGCCAGTGTAAAGCACATATTCATACAGCTCTTTCCATCCTGAGATGCAGAAAGCAGTGCAAATATTATCAATGCTTTTAAAGGAACGGACTGAGTGGCTCATAGCACTCATAGCCTGCTAATCATCCCTCCTCTTCCCAACACAGTCTCAGCCTTTTGCTTTCCAGTAAGAGGTTTCCTGCTCAAATTTCTTCTCTCAGTCCTATTCTGCTCACTTTCAAAGGCTCTATTACAGTAAATCACCAATAATGTGGTAGAATGATGGCACAGATTACTGCCAGAAACACCCAGTACAACCTTTGATGACTGTGGTTCCTCCCAACCTACTGAGCCCTGAAGTCCTTCCCCCTTTCCTCAGAGGAAAACACAAAACAGAAGGCAGTGTTAGTCTGCAGTGCCTTTTAACCCACGCTTACCTTAAAAGTGGCCTCTGTATCTCAGACTCTGAGGGAAGCTGACTCTTACCTGTAGCAATTCTTTGGCTGATCCTCTTTTCTCAACATCCATCTCCAAACATCGGTTCAAGAAATCCCGGAATATTGGGGACAGTTTCTCAGGGTTCTGAAGCTCTGGTGTGCCATTAGTTGCTATCAAATATAACGCCTGTAAAGCAAGGAATGTTGTACAACCAGCTCAAGCCTTTAAAAGATGACAACCGACTGTTCTAGAGACAATATCTCAGTCTAGATGAGTAAGAGTCTGCAGTCTACCTTGCCTCTCCCCAGTGAGATGAAAAGTTTTAAGAATGCCACTTACAGGAAGTTGCAATTCATTCTTGCTAGTAGTAAAATAACCTTCTAAATCTTTTGGCAAGTTATTCAAGAGATTTGTCTATGTATCTTCCAGAATAAAGCATCAGACTGACAAAGCAGCATATTTCATATCCTAATGGATTTACCTTTCCTAAACTGAGGCAGAAGACTGAATTCAAAGTCTAAGGTTTCAGTTACAAGAAGGTACGATCTGCACTTATATTCTGAACAGAGTGCAAATTCAGGACAGCAGTCATCCTTTGGATGGAAATTCCTTGCACTACTGAAGCTTGTTGTCTGTAGAGATTACTTTTTAAGGTAGATGCTATCAAGAATCACACTGAACCTCCTGAGAACATTCACCCAATAAACATTCACAAACAGTCCTAGCCATATCTGTATTTCTTACCCTCAAGGGGTTTTCATTGAGGTACGGGGGTTCTCCTTCCACCATCTCAATAGCCATGATGCCTAGTGACCAGATATCCACTTTAGGGCCATAGGCTTTCCTTGTGACGACTTCAGGAGCCATCCAGTAAGGAGTTCCAACCATAGTGCTGCGCTTGCTCTGCTCTGGGGTGATCTGAGCACAGAAACCAAAGTCGGCTGTAGGATAACAGAATTTAAAGAAGTTACCTTGGTGCACCCCATGGAAATGGACTTCTTAGTCTTTTCTATTACTACACACATACGTTACTCCTCCACACTTGAGGGGCTTCTGATGGAGGGGGAACATTTTTTCTCCCCACCATATTCTCCACATTACAAACTACAGTGTGCAAAACACACATAAAACCTTAAGATGTTTAAGCAGGGCAGACTTATGTGGGAAAAAGGTAAGGCTTTCTGTCCTCTCAAAAAGGGACATAAGTATTATCTTGTACAGGAGTGGTATTTTGCCCAGTCCTTCCTTCAATGTTCCTAGACTGGTACCAGCCAAAAGAAATGAAGCAGAACAGCAAAGGCAACTCTTCTGTGTGTGGTATACACTGCCTGAGCTAAAAAAAAAAAAAAAAAAAAAGAAGTCAATCTACAAACCATGGATTCTGCCCTGCTAAACAGATGTCATTTCTGCAGCTATTGAGTTCAGCATTTCACAGCAATTTGGCCATCAAATACAGGTACTACAGCTGACAGAGACATGGAAACTCAGAGGAAGGAGCCTGGACAAGCAAACCTTTCCACAAGGTAACTACTTGAAGAGAACAACCACACTCAAGAAAACAAGAAAAGTCACCTATTCCTATAGCCTTCAGGTGCAGCAGCAATGCATGTTCCATCATGTTACTTTATCCAGCTGCAGCACTCCCACTTCCCAGGCATGTAAAGCATCAATAAGAACACAGTTAAGGCAGGAAGAAGATTTTACTTTATTATTGACACTAAGTTTAAGAGAGAGAGAGAAAGAGAGAGAATTTTAAATGTTGAATCAATTTTGAAGTGTTATGCCAAGCAGTACCAACAAAAGAGCCACAGTTCTGAAAATGCTAAGTTGCACTAAGAGGAAAGCTTAATTAAGAACTATCCCACCCCCACTGTCAAAGTGCTGCCCAGAAAAAGAAAAACAAAAAAGAAAAAACAACCTTACAGAAGCTACCGAGTTCCTCACCAGCATTTCTTTCAGTCAGGCCTGTTGGCAGGTATCATACCCAATTCAACACACAGCCTACTTCAACAAACACACCAGAGAAGCAGCAGCAGTGTATGCCTCCTGCAATCAGCAGGGCCTTCAGCACCATCCCACCAGCCAGGATAGGAAAGACAGGCAAGGTGTAGATCCCAGTTTAGTCAGTAAGTATGTGCAGGCATTAGAAGTGAGGGCAGCTTTACAGCAGCCCCCCCTTCTGGGCAGGACATGTGTCTTTAAAGCTCCCACTAGCTGCTGCCTCCTTCCACAAGATGTTCTCTCATACCATCTAAATGCTTGACACCCCTTCCAAGACTCAGGCAGCAGGCAGGCAGACAGACTGGTATCTCTTCCTGCTGCACATTCCTCCAGAAAGGGAAGAGCTTGAAGTAGATGCAACTTCCACCCTCCACCTAGACAGCTGGTAGAAACCCTATAAACACAGCCAGAGGGCTAGCCTTAACACAACTACAGTACCTCCCTTTACCCTTTAGCTCTGAAAATATGCTGTTTTCTCCAGTCTCTCCCTCCGTCATCTCTGCACAGTCTCTTGGAGGCAGTGCTTTTCCCCACAGGCTGCTGCCCTGTCCTTTTACCACACTCTTTGCATTGACAGCTCTTATTTTTGAGACTTCTCCAGGTGACTCTACTGTAATCATTCACTTTGGTTTCTGAATCCATTCTGTTTGTTCACAAACACACAACTCCTTTAAACAAACAAACTCCTACACAAGAGAGCAGAGCATCCAAGAACACTGCTAAGCAAGCCAGGCTGCTCCTAACCTTTCTTCACGCTCCATCTCATGACCAACATGAGACTGCAAAAACCACTTGAGTAAGGAATACTGCTGAGATGTTTTTTTTATGGCATTTCAAATTCTTACTCAAATCCATTCCTTAAGTTTTTGGTTGTTTAATGCTGTGTACATTCCTATATACCAAGAAGTCAGATCACACACCTCTCTCTCAGCATTCCTGACAGCTACTCCATGTACTCTCAATGTTCTCTTTTCTGCCACATTTACACACACCAGAAACTGACTTACTAAAGACAAGCTCATGCATGCATGACAATTACCTGAAAAGTAAGTAGTTTCTTTAGTCATTTAATGATTTTATTAATGAAATTGTATTATACTTTCAGTCCAAGAAAAGGAGACCCAGTACAGGTGCAGCATAAGACCGAACTGCAATATAAACAGTTAATAATATCCAACTTTTGTGTTAGTGACCTTCTAATGAAAAGGGCAAAACATTAAAGGCAAGTCCATGACAATCCGAAAAGATCAACACAGTAACTGCAGTTTGTTGCAACTTTTCTCTTGCAATCATTTCCACCTTTGCATCACTGCATGCTGCCAGTTACTTCATTTACCAAAACACTCACATGACAACAGGCTTGCTTCAGCACCCTTCTGGAATAACACTCTCAGAATCTTAAGTATTAGGGCCCTCAGCACTTCCATACCAGTTACCTGCAAGTCATACACTTTATAACAAGGAATTAATTTCTATCATTCATCTGCAATAAAAAAAATCACCTCAGATTTCCCTGTCAGCTCTCTCCCTACCAATGTAGGCTCACTAATGCAAAGCTTATTGGGAAAGTGAAAGCAGAACACTGAAACAACTGTCTGGTACTCACTTAGTTTAACTGATCCATCCATTCCTAAAAGCACGTTGTCACTCTTTATATCTCTGTGGATGACCTGGTTGGCATGGAGGAACTCAAGCGCTTGCAAGCACTGGATGGGAGGGGTAGGGGGGAAGGAAAAAAAAATAGCATATGAAAATACAGTTTCTGTATCTCAACATTAATTCCAAGACATTGCTTTAACCCATAACCAGCATAGAGGAAAAAATGCTATAGGTTATTATTTAAAACAACCAGCAGAGGAAGCTCTTGTGCTAAACAAATACATAAATTAATTAAATATTCTTCAGATCTCTAGAAGTCAAAGCTAGCAGAGAAGCTGTGGTTCAGTTATCTTAAACCCAGAAATCCAACTCATCATCATCACAGATGTTCATTTTGGTACATGACATCTCCACATATGGAGGAACTGAACTGTAAGAGACTAAATGAGAGCCCTCCAGCATGAAATTTCACCAACAGGAATGCTTCAACGTGGAAGTAACTGCTGTGACAGTGAAGGCTGCAAAACATCTTCATTATGAATGTCATTAATACTGTTTTTGCTCATTTCTAGATTAAAAACTTTCACATGCAATTTCTTCTTAGAAACATAATGAAATTTACTTTTGCAGTTTGAAATAAGTGTGTAAGATATTCTCTTTTAACATAAGCAAAAGATTTTGCATTTGCCACTTGTGGCATGGCTGCAATCCCCAGCAGGTAGCTTGTACCTTTGCTTGGTTTAGCAAAGCAGTACTCATGTACAGAATGACAGGTATCTGGCAATCTGGGCAGCAGGGTTCTCATGAAGTACAACAGCTCAATATTCAACTTTTACCTCTGAAAAGATTACTGTAAATAGTCTTTCTCTGCTTCCAGCTCTGGTTTCTCAGGAAATCATTACCTGTCCATACAAGTTAATGTAATGTAAAGTTTGTTTTCCATCCCCTCCCTTTGGATGAATCATCAAAAGCAGATGTCATGTTCATGTAGCCAAGTCAGGCTTTGAAAGCCTATGTTTCTTCTGCATAGCAGATAATACAATTACTTCTTCCTTTGCCATAATAAGTCAAGCCTGAGCTAGATGCTAGCACTCTGATTGAGGTCAGAAGTCACTGATAACTTTTCCGACATCACATATTTTTAACTCTCGAAATCATACTTAAGACTTCTCTAGTCAGAATTTTCTGGAGAATTATTTTCCTAGGAAATCCACAAAGAAAGCAGAACTACAAATTTACCATGCAATGAAAAGTTACTAAAACAAGACAGGGACAGTCTGCATCAAGTTCATCATTATTTGCCCCAAGATTTAACATTCCCAAACACCCAGCTCAAAACTGGCATCATTCTTCTCTGTTCCAGGTTGCAAACACAATTTTCTGGGTGAGATTCACTTTGTTATTTTCCACGCATCTCTCTGATTTTAATATTGAATTCTGCTCTTAGAATCATTCATTCTTCCTAACTGAATGGATCCAACAGCAACCGTTGCAATTACTTGTGATATATGTGTACCATAAAACCTCTGTGAGCAGAGTGTGCTTGCATTCCTCCACTCATCAATTTCAATACTCACCTCTCTGCAAACAGCAGCAATCTGTGCTTCATCCATACATGTTTCTGTGACCACATCTGTTAGCGAGCCTCCAGCTAGATACTCCATCACCACAAACAGTTCATCTCCTACGAGGTAACTGCAAACACAAAACAAATAGCATGCCCACGTGCCATCAAGAGAGACTGAGAACTGAAAAATGACTGCTAAGAGCACTGTGACTTCTGGTCAAGGAAATGATTCACAAACACTTTGAGACAATATATAAGGAAATACCTGATCTCTGGCAGGTAGCTTGAAATGTATATATTGGCAATAAAAAGGCCTCTGCTTTCTAAATGGGCAGGATAACACCCTACATCACAGTGTTTTCCAGCTGAACTCTTGTCCACCACTGATCCACAGCTACACACAGCATTGTGTTCATGACAGAAAGCTTTATACTGAATCATTAAGACCATTCCTTATAACAGATGACTTCAAAAAAAAATTTTTAAAAAGATGACAGTCTAAATATAACCTCATTTGTTTTTAAGACCCTGATAAACAGGAAGTCTGGGTCTATAACTAGAATATCAAATTAAAACTTCTGAAATCCCTAGGAATGAAGGAATCAGCCAGCTGTCTTCATTTACCTGTCCAGGAAGTTGACTATGTTGGGGTTCTTTAGCTCCTTCATTACCAAGATCTCATTAATAATCAACTCCTTCTTGGGCTGTTTCTGCAGGTTTATCTGTTTGATAGCAACCTGACGAGGACAAAATGAAATGGCAATCACTCAAACTTGAGTATCAAAACCTTGCAGACATTCTTAATAGAGCAGAAGCTTAGAAGAGGTGAGAGATTCCATAACAGAATTAGGGAGTTTGGCACAGCTTGTTTGGCAGCTGGCAAGCTGTCTCCTTATTAGCATACAACTTGAAAGAGTACAACTTTATTAGCATACAACTCATATTGATAGCCAACACCATATTACAGCAGCTGAAATGATTCAAAATCTTCAATCTAGCAAAAGCCAAAACAGATAACAAAGGAAACTTTCAGGAGATAAAAAGACAGTTGCCTAAATTCATAACAGGCCTAAAGCAGAACAGATGCTTGTAGCTACTTAGAGCTGTCACCCAAGGCAAGGCAAGCCATTTTTTTTTTCCATCTTCTTCTGAATAGCTTAGTGTTTGGGTCTGAGAATGCTGGAAGACAGAAGGAGCTGCAAAAATCATCATGGACAGAAAAGATGAATAGAACAGTTCAACAGAGAAACCACTGAAGAAGATGATGTAGCAAACTATCAAACAGGGAAGTGAGGATGTTCAAATATACAGCAAGATAAGGAGTAAATAGTTTCTCACTGTAAAGTAAAGGAATTAGCCTAAGTCTGAGAGAGAACTGAAATGACCTGCCAGAAAGCTGTATGCAGGTACTGGTGTAGTCAAGGCAAGAAAAGGAGAATCATCAGTTGTCTGTAGTGACTGTCATGGGGAAAATACTGCCATGAGATGTAACACTCTAGAGAAAGAAAGCCCAGAAAAGTCTCCAAGCGATTAAGACAATAACCTATTCCAGAAAGAGAAGGGAAGAACATTCTTGCCCACGAAATAAGCTCATAGATTATGTATTCCAGACTCTTAAAAAAAAATAAAATTAAAGAATCATTAACCCAGTAACTGACACAATCTTGCAGAAACGATCCCTGCATATAGCCAAAGGCAGCAAAACAAGAAAACACGTGGCACAGAATCATAAACTAGCTGAGACTGGAAGGGACCTCAGGGCCACCCTTCTGCCCAAAGTGGCTGACTGTGAGCAGCTTGCTGAGGGCTTTACCCAACTGAGTTTTGAATGGAGATCTCAATGAGCAAGAATTCTATCACCTCTTTGGGTCCCTGTTCTATGCCTGGTCACTCTGACTGTGAAAAAGAAAAATTTCTAATACCTAACTTTAACGTTCTTTAAGGTATCATGTGCGTTACCTTTTGTCTTGTCACTGTGCATCTCTAAGAGGAATCCATCTCCCTAATTTCTGCACCTTTCCCCGTTAGGGAACTGAAAACAGCAGTGAAATCCTTCTTTGAGCTTCTCACCATTGGACAGAACTCTCAGAGCTTCCTTCTATTCCACAGACATTAAGCACTGAGGAAGTCAGACTACATCAGTTTAACACACGAAGACAGAAAACACAAGCAATCAATTCTTAAACCATCTGCCTAACAAGACAGAGAATCTCTAAGAAAGGAAGTAAGGCCAAACCTTCACTCTGCAGTAAGAGAACATGAAGTGCTGCAGGGTGTAGGAAGCATATTAAGTGACAACATACCAAGACAACTGAGAAGCTTGCATTTATTACAATGTAATATTCTACTACAGTACTGGTAGATGTGGTTACTGATGAAAGGGCAATTATGTACCAGCAACAAAACAAAGTGTTATTTTCAGACTTTCCAAGGAAGATTAAGGAAAAACTAAAGCATTTAATTCCTAGTGTTTTAGTTCTGGGGAATTAGAGATTACACCTGAATGACAAGGATGCAGAATTCTGTTGATGTCATCACCTTTACCAGATGAGTTTGGAGGCATCAAGTAGTGAAAACAGAACAGACTGTGGAGAGGGCATTTTAATTAAAAGAAAAAATATGGGGACAAGCTATTTCCATATAGATAAGGTGTATTGAATCACCTCTACCAAAACAGGACTAGAAAAGAAGTACTGAAAGACCAGATGTTTTATTTCTGAAAATCTAGAGTATTATTACCGCCAATATTTGAAGGATAAACTGTTCTCAAAGTGCATATCTGGAACATCTCACTCCCTGTGCTCTACACTGGAAAGAAAAAAAACCCTCCATTTTTAGCTCTCATCATCTGATTACTACAAAACAAGGCACACACTGTTACAAATGACCATGACATTCTTTTCAGAGGTAATAACAAAGATTGGAGCCACTGAAAGAAATCTAGCTAGATTATTTCAGCTACTACATAACATATTTATGGGAAAAATACTTTCAATACAACAAGCATGGGAATCTTACCTCCTGCCCAGTAGCCACATCAATAGCTGTGAAAACTGTACCTGAAGCCCTGTGAAAAAAAACTAAAATGTTACATGCGCCTGAACAGACAATCACAAACACAAAGCTGTGTCAGTTTTCAAAGTTTTAAGAGCTTTATAAAAAAAGGTGTTAAAAATAAGCAGTATCAGAGAAGTGTCAGCTGGTGCAAATTGATCAGAAGTACTCTCATTTATGAGACAATCCGTGCGTCCTGAACTCAACTAAGGCCCTATAATTTGTACTGCTAACTGCAAGCGGAAAAGCTGAGAAGCCCTTTCTGCAACATGTATTACTTTTCATCTTCCTCCAGGGGAAACCCTTTCACAAACACAAAGATATTTGGAAAGTATATAGCATGAGTCAGCTACATGTAATGAAAGCCGGATAAGCTAGAGTTCAATATATTTTTTGCTCAGAAGAACTCACAGGAACACTAGAGCAGTAAATCAGTCAAGGTAACGTTGTTAGCTTAGCACACAGAAAGCCTCCCGATGTACCCTTGAGATACTCAGTAGTCATATTACAAAATGGTTGAATGCATCTTACTGGAAGAGGACTAAATACACCCAGAGAGGTGTCACAGGGCTATGCTTTTGCAATTCAGAACTTCCACCACTGTAAAGCATTCATCATCTTTTTATCAATGCCTAAAACAGCCAACACTTCTGCTGGGCTTCAGTAAGTGGGGACTACCTGACAGAATGGCGCATGCTGCCTTTAGAACCAACTCACAGGGAATAAAAGTTGGGATCAACACTTACCCCTGCCCAATTTTTTCGTATCTGGTGTATTTTTTCTTGGGATCACCTATGCTCACAATAGTACCTTAAAGAAAAAGAAAAATATTACCTCACAGAATCTTACAATAGTTTTGGAAATGTTCTCTGCTATTGTAGCACAGCCAATTTCTGCCAGCTCATGGTAAAAAACACATCAATCCCACTGTTCCCCTTCAGCAAGACTGGCTTGGCCAAGAGACCTCCAAGAGTCAATCAGCTCTAATAGTACAGAACAGCCAAAGGCTCCTGGTTTAGTTCCAGTCACAAAAGGCCCAGCTTCAGACAATCATTCTGCTAGGTTTTACTCTTAACAAGACAGATCATGCCATTTCCCATTATCTCAAGTTAATAATAGTCTTCTACATAGCAAAACCCCACATGAGATTATGACAAATCCACTAGGTTAGCTTGCTCCAGAAACCAGTCAGTTCCTGACTAAAGCACAAGAACATTACTGTGGTTAAAAATTATCTTCAAGAAGATTATGGAACAAGCTACAACAGAAACAAGAATATTTTGAGGTATTATGGATATATTATACACACTGATAGCAGTGTTACAACCAACCTTTAATTTAAAGTTCTACAATCTTTTTTACCCAACAGGGCTCCAAAGCATAGAAACCAGCAAAACTTCTGCATGCAGCTCTTCTCAGCTACTGTCTGACAGAACACTAATCAAGCACAGTATTCACACAACCCTACACAGAAATAAGGGTCCAGGGAAAAAGCTTAATGACCACTGCCCCAGAAGTCCTAAAGTCTTTGCTTATCTGAAATGAAAAACACCTACGTAGTTTTTCCATGATCTCTTCATCTGACATTTTGGTCTTCTTTTTCTGCTTATCACCTGACTTTGTCCCACCATCAACAGAAGCGTCACCAGCTGGTGCAGGGATGGGGTCAATTACAGACCGTGTATAAATCTGTTTTTAGGAGATAACATTCACTCATTTAAATTGTGCATATACAATCACAGACCTTCAGTTAAAAGCAATCACAAATTTTCCAAGATCTCTAAGCACCATTTTACCTAACAGCTTGGAGGCAGAAATTAGGCGTTATATTTCAGTAAGACAAGATGCTCTCAATCTAACTGGCCTCTGAAAGAAAGATGCAGACTCCTTCTGCCCAGAACAGATGCTTGGAGATTAACTGCCACATACATTTTTGGGGTTTTCTACTTGCTTATTCTTTGCAACCTATGATAGCTAAATAGTTGAAAGGGCCCTTCCTTTTACTTCCTTGCTGCAATTTTCACCTTTCACAGAATAAGAATCAATAGTGGATAGTGAGAACAACTACCCCTATAAAGACAAAAAAAAGATTTGTGCTTTAGCATGAAAAGCTTCATTAATGCCTGGGAATTTCCCAGTTGTCCTCAGTTCCAGGGATTTTCTTAGAGCTTTATTCTGTTTCCTTTTGAGCTGTTCAATAGCCATGCATTTGAAAAACAATGCAAGTTCACAGCTGTAAACAACTAGTGCAGCAATACCAAACTGCAGCCTTATCTCATAGTGTAAATTTAGAAATGTCATTTCAGTCGTGTGAAGCAGAATCAGTATCAATTAATGAGTACAGATAATTCACATTTTTGTGCTCCTGGAGTGAAAATAAGCAGACAGCAGTATGTACATCTACCAAATGAATCAGGGAATCGTGAGACTTAGCAAGCTGGATGGGCAGTTCAGGATAATCACAAAGAAAAGTTCTGTGAAATGCAGTTTAACACCAGAAATTGTACAGCTTCTCACCGATTTCGTGTGATCTGGCCGTGGAGCAATAATAGGAGGAGGTGCTTCTTCATCATCATCATCATCATCTGCCACAGCTGTTGATGGTTCTGAACCCTTGGCATTGGTCTACATTTGTTTAAGAAAACACAAATATAAACAAAATTGTTTCCCTTGCAATGTTAAATATTTGTATTTTGTTTGTATTTTGTTTGTTTGTTTGTTCTCTTATAAAATATAGGATTATTCTTACTCATGTCAAAAGAAAAGTACAGGTTGATTGGTATAAGCAACCTATTACAACTGATTGAAGATTTGGTATATATAGGAAAATCTGGTATATAGGAAAAACAGGAGACCTGAAATAAATGTGCTTAAGACGACACATGTAAAGTAAACTCACTCACCGTTGGTGTTCCTGAAGGGAAACCATCTTTTTCTAAATAGGAAAAAATGAAAAAGACAAAATCCTCAGAAAAAAATAATAAAAAGTTATCTGCACAAAAAACAGGGATCACTTCACAGATTTTTTCATTTCTCAAAATCTGACAGTAATAAATGAAAGAAACCAGTACTGCACTCTATCTCCAAGCAGAAGGAAGTTTCTAAAGTAGACAGCACTTTTTTTCCCCACTTGCTCTTCACCTCACCTGTACAGTTTTCCAAACTCAGTACTGCCCATCACATTCATGCACCTTTGTCTTACTGAGATGTGAATGAATGATTAAACAGATGTGTTCCACTAGCTGTATTTTGAGTCAAGGATGAGGACATTACAAAGCCTTATTACTAAGCTATTTTCTGTCTGCAAGTCATTTGGAAGGGAACTGCATAAAAGGAACTGTGTGCATTTGTAGGACAGTTGCTCTCCCACAGCCCCATCACGTAGCTCCTGACCTAGAGCAATAACTTATTTTTCATCTTTGGTGTCATCATGTGAGTAAAAGAAACAGGCAAGTTCACAGGTAACAAGCATCTAGATACACAGTTCAATCACGGACCAGAGGAGCAAGTTCTCCACTATGAAACCAGCTGATTAGTTGCAGATTCCCAGCTTCTTAATGGGCTGTGCTTATTTTTGACTGCTATTTTGAATTATCCAGTTCCATTTCTTTCCCTTTCCCCTTAAAATGGGAAATTTACTGGACAAAGACAGTTTTCAGTAAGTGTTAAATTCATCTTCAAATTTTTGATTTTTGTTCCTTACTGTAAAGTAGGTTGCTCTTTCAGCATTTGAAACAGATTTACAGTTCACAAAGAGGAACACCCAATTCCCCTTTCAATATGCTTTGTGCATACTTGCATCTCACCTGGAGCAGAAAAGCTCAGATATTTCTGTTTTGCTGTGTCTTTGGAGTCGTAGAATTTCAGCACATCTAGTACCGCCTGAGGGTTTTTCTTCTGTTCTAACTTGGTGATATTTGAGGTCTGTAGCAACCGAGCCCATTGCTCTGGCATTCCCTGAAATAAAAAGCCATTTAAAAAGCAGAACAAAAGGATAACATGTACAGCCTTAAGCACACCAAAATGTGTGATAGAGACTTATAAAGGTGATGAAACAGATGAAACACAGCTGAAATACCTCCGGATGTCTCAGCATCCCAAGCATTCAGGGGCTCCAGCCCACCGTGCCTCCCTAACACTGTACCTTCTAGGCATATTCAGTCTGTCATGAGGAATGGGAATACAGAAGCACTCAACAGCACCAGCATTACAAACTACTGAAAGTGAACTGAAGAGGGAGGTTTCCTTCCCTGCAGCATTTTTTAAGGAAGGCTCTCCCAGGTGACAAAGCACTGGATGTGATACTGACATTACAGGAACACTAACAGGTCACAGTTTCATTACTCTGTGTGCTTTATAAATACACAGCATAATTATTTCTTTGATAAGAACAAAGAGATTAACTCTTCATTCTAAAATACCACAATGTTCTTTGTAGCACTGACCCATAGCTGACATCTCAGTGACTTACAGTGAACTCTCCAGTGACAGCATCAAAGCCAACATGGATAGTATGCTCAAAGTCTGATGGCGGGGAGATTTCTGGTCGTTCCTTTTCCTTCTTCTTGCTTCCTGAAAATGCAAGGAGAGACCTACTGAGTAATGTTTTAAAGTCCCACTGTTCCCATTCCATATAAGAAATCCAAGTAAAATGAATGGGATGAATGCAACCATTATTCTTTTTGCTGGATGGCAGCGTTTACATACATAACACAGGAGTTTAATATCTTCAGGTATAGACTTCATGTAACAATCACCAACTCCTTTCACTCAAATCACTGCACTGTGGCAGGAATCAAATCAGAGATTATGAGCCTCAGAGCACAAGAGCTCTGGAACACATGAAACATTCACAAGGGAAAAAGATGACATTTTCACATGGATTAAGAATGGTACTGAAGGAAACTTCAGTTCAATCTCAAGTTCACCCTAAAGACAGTTAAAACTCAGTTGTCTCACTGCTTCAATTCAAGATAATTAATGCAAACTACGCCTTCCTGAATGAAAATAAAAATTGATAGCCTCAGACTGCCTATGTAATTTAAACTAAAAGGGGAAAGAAAAAAATATAACAAGAAAGCAAATCTAAGAAACACCAGAAGCAGAAACAGATAATGAGAAGGACCACATGCACAACCCAACCCACACAGAATTACACTCAGATATTTTATAATGCACAAGGTTTGGTTTGGGAATTTTTTTCCCCATTCCCATTCCCTGCAAATTGTCTTCCATTTCTGTTGAACTGTAAATACAAAACCCAGTGAGGCACCATTACGTTCCCTCTACTTAGAGAAAAGGTTCAAAGTTGGAGGATTTCAGGAAACAAAGGCCGAGTCCTGCTTGCTTCCCCCAGGCAGAGGAGCTGCTGTTTGCTCTGCAGGAGACCTGACACCTGAGGCTTCACACTGCAAGGCAGAGCCCTGGCGCTGAGCAATGGAGCGTGTCTCATTCGATACTGAGAAAACAGCATGTTTACTCCTGAGAATGCCTATGGGCTCACAGAGCAAAGCTGAATCAGCTGCATTTATGAAACAAACAAACAAAAACTGTTTTGCTTTAAGAAATGAAAAGCCATAAAGATTCATTACAAAAAAAGTGCAGATAGAATAGGACCTGCTTAGTGACTGTGGTTAAATGCTGCTGGGGCAAGCGATGGGGCAAGCTGACGTCACAGCACCCAGAGCCAGGGACTGTCCAAAATCCCCTCTTGCTGGCAGGAAAGGAAGGACGGGAACCCAGGACAATGCTTACAAACGAAAAGCCATGTGGGCTGCCGCGAGCTGAACAATGCAGTGGAAAGACACAGCTATTATAAACAGGATATCTTTAATATGGCTGCACAGGTCGGAGCCAAAAAGCAAACGGACTGTCAAATGTTCTCATTTAACATCTTTAAGGAAAGCCACGCTCCTTCGCAACCTCTTGCAGTTGTTTATGTGAAAGCAGGAGGAAGAAGAGCTATATTCCTCAGGAAGATTACTGTACCAGAGCGCTTAACAGCTAGGGAACATGGCTTGGTGCTCAAACCATCCAGAACGTGCTGCACAAATAAACCCCATCCTCCCACAAATACACATCTCCCGAGTACACCAGGCAGGAGCCGAAACACTGCTCTGCCCACGGGAACAGCAGATCAGAGGCACTTTAAACAAATGGAAGCAGCAAACTCCAGTCAAGAGGCAAGTCCAGAGAGCCATGCTTTGGCAAGACATACTTGAGACTCTGTTAACAAGGCCACTGTGAGGCCAGGCTATTTTTAAACCTCCAATTATGCTTGCACAACAGCTCTCGGTATAAATGGGAATCCCTTTAATAAAGAGCAACACTCATTTTGAAGCGCAAGTGAACTTCAGATTTTCCCCATATGAAGCCTGAGCCCTTTGAAATGCATTAGCCACGCACTCTGCCTGCATCACAAACCAACACCAATGCAAGGGACCCCAGTGTAAAGCCTTGCATTGCAGTGTGCTCCAGCAGGAGGGTCTCAGCAGCCCAGGAGGCACAGGCAAACCTCAAGTCCCCAAGCACAGCTGAAACCATGAGGCTCTGCTCCGAGTCTGCCGTCCGAGCACGTTGCATGCATGATCCTGGGGCCTGGGCTATTCCCTGCAGCACTCCTTCAGTAAGTTCTGCTCCAGAATAAACATTTCTGGTTGAGAAGACTGCTTCGAAGCTTTCCAAAAATGCACACAGGTTCATTTGACTTCAGAAGCTTGGCCAAGGAAATTCACGGCAATTAAGTACTCTAGTAAAAAAGATGACTATCTCATCACTTATCCGGAACAAAGGAACTGGTGGAAAAAGCTCCCTGATGAGGTGATTAAATAATCCCTTTGCTGATTATTTCAGCACAGAACTAGCTCAGAGTCGGGGCAGGAGCCCTGCTTGTGCTCAACCTGCTGCTTGCAGCAAGTGCCCCAACCCACCTCACTGCCCCCAGCCCACCTCCCAGTGGGAGGAGCTGTGCTGAAGGACTCAATGAGACAGCCAGGAGGGACCCTGTGACATCAAGGGGCCAGAAGGCTGCAGAGCAAAACCAGACAGCTTCATCAGCCCTGCACCATGTCTGCCCATCTGCTTTAACAGCCTTGTACATCTCCTGGGAAGGCATTCCTTCATTTTTTGGAAAGAAAAATTTAATACGTTAGCAGTAATTGATTAATCTCTGCACTGGCCCAAATACAAAGTTAGTTTGAGAGACTGTCTTGCATACACCCCAGCATACAGCTCACCAGCAGCAGAATAAAAAGCCACCTTTTCTTCAAACAGGCCTTTCCAATGGGGGTGCACATCAGCTATACCAATGAACAAAACAACTATCACCAACCACGTTATCATAGAACACAGTAGAACTTCTTTTCAGAAGGACACTGCTTTAAATACTTTTTAACATCTAAATGACAAAGTAGCACAACTTTTGCAGTAAGGACTTCTACTTTGTGCCACCAAGTATCAGTTGATCCACAGACATGCTGAACAAGCATGCAGATGAATTTTGGTATTTACAATATTTACAGAACAAATTGAAGTATTCACATTTTAAAGCAATTTCAGGTGACTTTAGACAAGGCCCCAACCACCCTCGTGGCCATTCCAGCAATGAATGAACCCACTGTCAAGATGGAAAAAGGAAATGTCTGAGGAGAAGTAAAGGCACTGTGACACTTCACAAAGCTCTCCAGCCACACTGTGCCCGCTTGCATTCACAACTCAAGCAAGTCTTACTCGGTATTATTAGTTCAGAGCACCTTCCTTCACAAACCCAAGTCTTGCTCTCAAGGTGTTGCTACCAGCCTGCACTTCCTTCTCAAGTTTGCTTTACAGACTTACCTCTTTAAGGCTTTTACCTGTATCAGATAAAAAGACCACCACCTGTACTGCTATTATGCATCCACAGTCAGTTGCTGCACAATAAGTGACCTTGTGAAATAACTATTCTGCTCCAAAAGCCACAGTAGCCAAACCTTTCCATCCTCTGAAAAGGAAAACACACCCAGCACCCCCAGCAGCACCGCTGCCTGATTGTGGCAAGCTATCTGTGAGTGCAGGAAGCCTGCTGCAAGCATTTGTTTCCATTTGTTTCCGGGGTGAGGCAAGGCAGCAGAGAGACTGCTCACAAAGCTGAGTGAGAACCAACACCAGCAGTGGGGGAAGCTCTTAGTGGAGTGAATGAGCTACCGGAGGAGTAAAGTCTCTTTAAGCAGTCAAACCTGTGTCAGCATGTCTGAACCAGGCCTATCTAACACATCAGTGCCAACCCAGTGCAGGAAGCCAGGAGCGGAACTGGAAAGCATTGAGAGCAGCCAGGTCTTCCCCGTGACAAGACAGTAACATGCAACATCTTTCCTAACACTGACAGAACAATAAAATACATTCCTCTGCCTAAGTGTGTGCTCTTCCATAGGGAGTACGTGTCATATTTCTGTAACCCATTCCCCAGTGTTTGTAAACAGATACACAGCCCCACTGATCCCAAAACACGGGACAGGGTGCCAGTGACAGCTTCTGGTCAATCCAAAAACACAACTGATGTCAACATGCGTTAACATTCAGTATTGATTTCTGTCAAGAATAAATCTTAATAAAAAAACACTACAGGGTACAGAGTAACAAAACACACTGCAGTCTCAGGTCAGGTCAGTAAAACCCTGCATATTTCTATCCTAGCAGGTGTTAGAGCCATTTCTACAAAAAAATCTACAAAGGTAGATTTTCTCCTGTTGGCAATTACCCTGAAACGTGCAGTTACATAGATCTGATCACTGGAGAAGGACTTCATTTTTCCCTATTCTCCTTCACACACTCCGTGCTTTCCCACTTCTTACCTCAAAGGTACCACATTAATGGTCATTAACATCTAGTAACTTCCAAAATCAGATGGATGCTCAGTTTAAACTAAAAATCTGTGCTTAGCATAGCAAAATGGTAGGGAACATGATATGCAGGAATCAGAAACATTTACCAGGGTTGTTGAAAAATACATTCCTTTAAAACAGGCAGCAAACATGACAAGTACTAGGTCGAGGTTTTCCTTAAGGAGTCATTCAATTTCTCTTCCTGAGCACTTCATCTTCAAGCAACTCAGGACAAAGGGAAAGAACAGCTCACTGAACACACAGATCAAGCTTCCTGCATTTTCTCTAATATTCAGACAGGCTGCAGTAAAGAAATTCCACAATCTCACATGCAGATTATGGACTCAAATGCATAACACGCTACAAAACCTTGGAAGAAGAATAAAGAAATAGATAGAAAATTGAGGCATCTTACCTTTTTCAGTGCTAGAGAATATGGAGATGATTTTATTCCTAGGTTTTCTCTCTTCTGGTACAGAGGGCAGAGGTTTCAAGCTGTGGTTGGCAGACAACGGGTCCTTTCCCCCATAACTGCTCATCCGCACAGGAGGAGCTGGTGGCTTGTCTTCCAGTTCTCCGTTGTCAGACATGGTTCTGAACAGCTAGTGAGAACTCTGAAACAGAAATATAGGTTAAACCATACGAAGCAACCAAGGAAGACAGAAATAGAGCATTTCTTTGGTTGGCCAGTAGGGAAAGGAGGTACAAATTCATCTTTGAAAAGCACAGCGAGCGCTGCATTGCTCAGCGCTGACATTTCCCTCAAGGAAGAGCTCCTTTCCTCCTCCCTGCTGGCTCCCACTCCCACCCTAGGCCACCCCTTCACAGGGTAAGCAGCAGCACTTGTGGGATGCAGTGACAGGCTTCTCCAGTGATAACACCAATCCAGTCAGAAAGAATAGACAATTAAGATGTGAATCAATTCCCCAATCTAGTTTGCTAACTGTTCACATCAAGGCTTCATACATGGAAGTGATAAAGCACGTAAGGACACTAGGGTAACTTAAGGGCAGTTCTGGCTCAGTGCTTCATGCTACAGAGTCCTTTCTTGTCATTTATCTCGTGGAGAGCAGAATAGCTTACGTTTAGAGCCATAACACGCTGTCCCTATTAAGCAGAATAAAGAATATCTCTACCCAACTTACAAAGCCTAAATAAAAGAGCACGGATACAGGATCTACTAAATGTATTCCACTTCTGAGCAAGGACATGCACAGCTTCACCCCTCTGTGCCACACTTTCTTCACTTGTGAGAAACACCCATGTAAATACACACACACGCTACCATCATAATCCTACAGAAGTTCTTAACAGAAGAGACAGCTGTCAGTGCCAACATACAGCACAACAAAGCATCTGCAGGAGGCGTTCCAATGAAACCTGCAGCAGCCTCTCCTCCCTCCCCATGATAAATTGGAGATTTTTTTTTTGTTGATCAACAAGGAAAAGGCAGCCTCCGCTGTAAATAGCACACACAAAGGTATACAGAAATCATCTCTCTGTGACAGCTGAATAAGAAACAAGCCCCTTGTTCCTCAACGTGCCCAAATGATGATCCTGGAAGGGAAGTCAGCGCCCCTCCTCTGTTTCTCATGATGTTGTCAGTGCCATTCAGAGCCAGGCTGGGATGGTGAGTACAACCTGCTATCACTACCCACGTCTTACTCACAAAGTATAAACACTGCACTGCATGCTGCGTGCGTGGCTTTCACAGAACTGCAAATAGGAGGGCTGTCCTTCCTTGCTGTTATACACCGGATAGAAGAACGCTGCCAAATCCCAATGGGGAAAAGCAAAGCAGGCCAGCTGCCCAAATCCAAGCAGCACGAGAGCAAGCTTTTTTTACACTGTGATGCTCAAAAGAGATTGAAATGCATTACCGCCATGAATGCCCACGAAAGCACATCATTTCTGTACAAATACCTTCAGAGGCACAAACAGCATGAGCCAAAGTTCTGGCAGCCTTAGTTGAGAAGTGACCATGTGTGGGTTGCCCCACAGACTTACAGATTGATGGGAAACAGCTGTCAAAGCTGTGCAACATCCACCTAGACAAATCTGCCTTCAAGCCCTCTTCCTGACGACAGAGTGATAAATAGGCCTGCAACACTGGACTCAGCTGGTGGGGACGCAGCTATAGATCAGACCGTGGTTCCTAGCCTTCCATTTTTGCTTACTGATTGCTCTTTCAGATGTTGCAAGTTATCTGCAGGATCTTCTCAATTTTCCAGTATCTACCCCGCAATATGGGAAAAAAGAACCCTGGAATTTAACAGCAGGACTGAGCAGCCTACCCGCAGGGATTTTAATTCCAATCTCTTTCCTAACAATAAGCACTGCTTTCACAAAAGCACATGCCACCAGTCTGAGACGTATAATCTCCTTGTACAAATCACCACAGTTGAAGAGTCCCGCTCTACAGAATCAGCTTTTAGGAGTGCAGAGGTAGGATAGTACAGTAGGGAGGGTCTGCATCAGCTGGAACGCAGCTCTGAAGTCACACTCGGAGTACAAGGGGGTAAAACCCATCTATCCATGCATTTCTTTGAGCTGCTTGATACAAGCAACAGCAAAGGCAGCCAGCCAGCCTGTGTCTGAAACAGACAGACTAGTCCTCCAAGCCCATGCTAAGTCCCTGCATCCTTTCACTGATAGCCCAGTCACCTAATAATGCCATAACATGAGATTCAGGTTGCCAATTTTTTTTTTTTTTACACTTTTCCACTTTTATTTACATGATTTCAAAATGGAACTCTCACTACAGTGAAAATTCTGAATTTTCAGTGATAAGAGTAGCAGAAAGAAGTTCACACATTCACCATCACAGCTTCTTGATCTGAAGATAACTACTCCTTAGCACTTTGTATGTTCAAGAGAAGAAACTGTTAAGAAACAGGTTGGAAGTAAGTATTTGGAAACCCCAAATCCATCTATTCCATCAGAAAATGAGGCACTTTGAAGCACTGGTGTAACAGCACATATACTGAACCCTCTAAACTACAACTTCAACTGGCTGGTTTGTGTTCAAAGTGTTTAGGAGTCTTCTTGACTCTACCTGAAATACAGCTAAGGAGCAGGAGAGAAGAAAACAAGTCCACGTGGGGCTGCAGGGACCTTCAGGTAGAGAAGCTCCAGGGCTGAGGGAGCAGACTGGCTGTGGCAAAATGCTCTGGATCAGTTTCAAACCTAAGGAACTGTGTTTGTCATTTGCAGTTAAAATCCTTCAAGCTCATTAAAGCTAGAAGAAGCAGAAGAAAGGAGCAGTTCCCTCCTCCTTTGTCCTTAGCCCCACCTTTATTATGCAGGGGAAACCTCCACAGCCCAGGAAGCATTTCTGAAATGGCTACAGAGGTTTGGCCTTAGGTGCCATGATTGGAACAGGTAAAAAATAGGGAAATAAAATGAAGGAGTGCAGATACATCCAGAAGCTCCTTTCCTTCTCTCTCACAGGAAAAGACACCAGGTAGGGGCAATCACTCTTGTCCCATCAACAATCAAGTACAGGTAACAGAGAGAAAAAGGATGTTATCAGTGGAAATGGATTCACCTTGACCAGTGAAGATAATACTGCTACTAATAATGGATTTCTGCATTCCTCGCAGTCACAGTGGCACTATGTTTAATTACAAGAACTAGAAAGTGATGGAAAGAACCACAGACAAGCTGTGAGGCTGCAAACTATACTTAACTACAGACTTCAGACAGATTCATTCCCACCACAGAACAGCACTGCAACCCACTACATTCACAAAAAAAGACACAGAGCTGAACCCTTTCCTCCCAACAGCTCTGCTACTTACTCCACAAAACATAATCACAGGGGCCAGAGCTTGTGACCGCACAGCTCTGATTCTTGGTGTGTATCTCTTGCATACGACAGTACTCCCTGTGGACAAAGGATGTACTCTCCTCATCCTCAATGCCCTCATAACTTGAGCTGCAGAAGAGCAAATGCACCCTCTGTGCATTTGCAGAAGCAGCAGGAAGGCTCCAATGCTGGGCAGCAGGGCAGCACGCTCTGCCCCAGGGCTGCTTTTCAGCTCCTTCGAGTTCTAAGAAAGGGCAAATGTTTTCATCTCTGTCTTATTTGCAGAATGACTAAAGGGAAATAAAATGAAATCAAAGACTGGCACTTTCCTACCTGCTTTTGTGTGCTGTCAGTTTTCCTAGCATGCTTTACTTGAGTATATCAGTTTTTAAACATACATCATGTGTGTCCATACCTCAGCCTCATTCCACTATGCAGTACTGCAAGGCCTTGAGCAGGGGGAAGAAAAGAGAGAAAAATCTTGAGGATCCATAACATCCACAAAGAGCTGGAGTTTCTTCGTAAAATGTTCAAATTAATATATTTGTGTCCTCCAAGCTTCACCTGTATTTCAATGCCTAGCATGTGATGCAAAAAAAAACCTGGCCTAATGCTTGGAAAATGCAATATTGAGCTTGGAGCTGTTTGATAGGACAAATGTGAATTCCTATCCCTGCCACAGCACAACCTCACTTCATGCTGCCCCTCTCAGCAGCCACAACTAATCCCCAGCAATGCATATACCCTGACGGGAAGCTCACGGAGCTGCCAACTGAACTCAGCTCTGCTTCGTGCAGGTGAAAATTACTCAGCTTATTTATCTATCATCAATGTAACACCAAAGGAGCAACACAAACGTCAAATGGAAGTCTATTTTGCAGGGCTGATCAAAAAGCAGAAGTAACCCATTTCAGTCTAGCATGCTATTAAGAAACATAACCATTTTGCTTTTGAAATTGCAGCCTGATATGGCTGCAGAACCCCACTGGGACAGCATCTGGGCTGCTGCAAGAAGCGCACAGCACTTGGGCACAGCTGCATGCACAACACCTGAAATCAATACAACACAACTATGAGATGTCTGACAGGAAGAGCAGAAGAAAAGAGGGTAGACACAGAGTGAAAAATAGCCTGACCCTTAAGGGCACTTCCCCAGCCCCGCTCTAGCTCAGGGCATGAGGTCTGAGAAAGGCCAGTTATCCTTACAGCAATCGGTGCGGCGGCAGCGCTGTCATCTGCTCTCTTCCTGCAGAGCCTTATAGGGCGCTGCTGGCAACACTTGTCATGTACAGAGAGCAGCATCCGGGCCAGGCAGGTCCAGCACAGAGGAAAAGAGCAGAATAGATGCCTCACAAACTTAATCTCCAAGGCAAATGTTGAGTAGAAAAAAAAAAAAAAAGACAAAGTAAAAAAAAAACAATAAAAGAACCCATTTGTGCTACTTCCAAGAAAAGACCGGTGTGATGAGAGAGATTGAGAGTCGTGTTTCACTCTTGATTTGTAATACAAAAATCCCTATGGAAACGTTCAGAGACATTCCCAGCACACTGACCCAATTTGTTATCTTGTCTTCAGCCTTCCCAGCACCAGCATTCGTGAGCAGAACACCTTCCTGGAGGAGACGAGCCTCGATGCTTCTTTATTCCGGACAAGGGAGCAAAAAGACCTTCCAAGAAAACAGATACAGGCATTGTGCAGCTCTTCAATGCACTTTGGAGGGTTGGTCTTTTCAGCAGATATTCCATCTTCTCAGGCCAAACATTTTTTGAATACAAAAGCAGAATGCAATGTCTGCACGGGTATTTTTCTAACGCTCCTCTCTTTTTTCCCTTTTTTTCCCCTCCCACCCCCCAACCCCCCTCGAGGCTCCTGTTGAGCAATAGATTTCCTGTGATTAGCTCACAGAGTACTGATTATAGCTCACTTCCTCCCAGGGATTAGCTGAAAGCAGCTTTCTGACAAGTGTGCATTCAGACGGTGCTACCTTAGCCGCAGCTCACTTCCTGCCCCAGCACTCAGCAGCTCACCCATCCCAGATGATTTCAACGTGCAGAAAAATCCACAGAACCAGCAAATCTCAGACCATCTTCTCCACGGTTTTGTTTTCCAACAGCATCAGATTTATTCAATCTGACCTAAAAAGGAGTTTCTCAAACAGTGGAAGAGTACCTTAGGTGACTGAAAATCCTTATCTCTCCATTCCAACTCAAAAAGTTGTATTCAAAGTTGTGGCAGGCCAAGAATTACTTTCTCAAAGACTTGGCAAACGCAGCCTCAGATCTTCTGCCTGCCAAAAGAGGACTTGTGCAAAAGCAAGACCAAGAGCAGCCCTGATAGCGGCCGGTGAAAGCCAGCAGGGTGATGGGTTCCACCTATGCATGCAGATGTGCTAACGGCACACAGCTCTCCAACCCTGTACCTCTGCCCGCCTCCAAGGGACTTGTTGAAACGTCTCCTTCCACCTTCAGAGGCCTCAGATAAAATAAGCATTTGGTCTATGCCAAACCGCACACCCGTGAAAGCTAACAGTTATTTTTATTTAACTTTCCTTTATGGGGAGGGAAGAGGAAACTAAGCTAATCTGAAATATTCCAACCAAGCACAAACCTCACTAAATTACAAGCATAAGCAAGCAAGATACCCTTTCAGACGATGCAATTGAGAGAGCTGATTATATATATGATTATATTTATATAAAATCTGAGCACAAGCAACATAAACTCTTCATTAAGACTTATGCAAGGACATACTGTATTAATCAGTCACTGTCTGGCAAGGCACTGAAGGTGCTAACACATCGCCAGAGTCATTCCTGCAATATCAATGCCACGTGCAGCAGTTTGCTGCTTTCAGCTGCTAAAGAGGCAACCATGAATGTTATGAACAGCCCTTTCCTGCTGACTTCCCTTACAGCTGCACGCAACACAGGCAATGCATCACGTTGCCACTCTACCAACAACACAGGAGAACCTCAGCCTCCTGCAGATCAGATGGGATGACACCCCACACTGCAATATAACCAGCTCAATTCTTTCCATTTTATCTTCTTCAGACTCCTTCCCATATGGAACCCTGCAGATGCACAAAGCTCTGCTCTGAACATGCTCTGGAGTATCATTTTAGAAATAAAAGCAGACCCATACTCCCAGGAGCATCCAGGGGCAGACCTCCTGTCTCACAGAGAATGCCACTGACACACAGCCAGTCCTCAGCACAGGCACAGGACAGTACAGCTTCCAGATACCTACTAATAAAGATAAGCAAAGCAGTCTATGCTTTCCTGACCCTGGCAGCCTCCCAGACCAGGTTCACACTGTGCCTAGTGAACTGAAGACACAGTGATAAGCAGAAGCCTCAGTAAGGTTAGATGTTTTCTCCGTAAGTTTCACTTTATGAACTGGGAGAAGGGAGATCGTTTCAGAACTATCAGCTCTGGTCTGTGACTGAAACAGCTATCAGTGGGGAAAAGTTCAAAGAGGCACAGAACAGAGACAGGATGTGCAGGAGTCCCAATGAGGTCCATCAGCACTCAGAAAACTTCAGCCAATTAGCAGTACTTCACTTTCCGCCATGTCACAGCCATCTGTAGGCCTTGTGATCCATCTCTGTAAGCCACGACCAGCTGACTCCCACCTGAATTCTCATTTCCTTCTCACAGTAGAAACACAGCATTACTGAACCATAGCAGCGTATTGTCATAAATAAATCAGAAACTGCTTCTCTTACTTCCCCAACTCCAGCACTGCGACAGCAGCACCTGACAGGCCCCAAAGGCAGCCAACGAGTCGCTTCTTGCTTCCACTTCCCCAGGCACTGCAAGAAGACTTCAAAGATGAGGCCACAACATCATCGCTGAGAGCTGATGACAGCAGAGAACAGGAACAGGATGGATCCACAGGTGTCCATCTCCACCTCAGTGCAGAAAGCCAGGCCTGCAGGCATGTGGAGCAGGAGCCCAAGGGGAGGGGTTCCAGCACCCTGCTGCAGGCCCAGCTGCCACCCACCCGCTGAGCTCGGGCCATGCTCTGTTTCATGCAGCCCACAGCCAGGGTTTGGCTTCAACGAACCATTGTGCAACGCTGCATAATGACAGAGCGGGCTCAAAGGTGTTTGAAAAGCCTATTCAGTCCTCAACAAGGAAATTCCTCACCCCTGCTCTACCGAGGTGAAAACCTGAGTCAACTGAAGAAAGACAGCCTGCAGCAAGCACAGTGCATGCAAATCTGTGATTCGTGGTGCTTGTGCTTACTCATATTTCTTTACCTTGAAGACTCTGTGGAGCCTTTATTTTCACGAGCTGAGATTTTCTGAAGATCAAAGGAGAATGGGGAAAAAGGCAAGGAGGGAAAGTTGACGAGAAGAGAAAAATGAAGTCTGTATCTCATCCCTGCGATCCTCTCTTAATTAAACTTGGCATTACAGGCAGGGAGCACATTCCAGAGCAAAAGTTATTTGAATAAAGGGTACGTTACCTGAGCAAGGCACTTATACAGCTCAGTTTGTTCATATTTCTAACAGCACACACAGCTGCTGTAACCTGGACCAAAAGATTCCCAAAATGTCAGGCTGTGGCATGGCACAGAAACGAGCAGCAACTCTGGTAGAAAGCAAAATGGTTTCTAACCCCCAAAATAGTGGACATGTAGGATGTGCCAGTATGGCAAAGAAAAGAAGCATCCAGCCATTAGGGATCCATCACTCTCCCACCATGCTGATGGAGCTGTCAAATGGCAGCTAAGGAGAAAACAACAAAAGAGGGAAAAGACAAAAGGGAAAAAAAAAAAAAGAGAGAAATAGCATCCTGCACACACAAAGAATCGAGCTTTTGTTTCTGTCCAGCAGTTGGCCAAGCCTCACTTTAACTGCAGCTACAGCCAGCAGATAGTGGGAACTTCAGTTCCCTCAGCTCTTCTTGCAGAGCTATAAAGCAGTGCAGGCCTGGCACAGAATGCCCCACAGAAAATCCAGCCTCTTCTCAAGTGCCATTGCCCACCAGTGCACACCAGGGGTCACCCAGACAGTTACAGCTGCATGGAGCAGCCCGCTGAATGGCCCCAGCCCAGGATCTTACTTCTTCGTACCCACACATTCGCCCTGAAACAGCATCACCCACAAAGGCATCAAATGCAACATCTGTAAATACAAAAAGCACCTGAGCACAGCTTTAAATCATAAAACAGAGATGTCTCAGGTGGACATGGCCTATCTTCTGAGCATACTCTGCAGCACAACGGATATGGTGACTTCTCCCAACAGCCAAACTCATACTGGAGAAGCACTCCCTGCAGCATCCTACCCCTGTGCTGGGGGAAGGTCACTCACCATGAGCTGGGAAAGCTGGCACTGGCTGCCATGGACATTAGGTAGGTGAGGCAACAAGCAGCCCATGCAGCTGTTAGACTTCACTGCTGCCAGAATACCCCACAACTATCAGCACAGCCATGGCTGAGCCTGTGACCATCAGCAGCTTTGCCAAGGTTTCTGTGCATCAGCCCCAGGCAGGGCTGCCCTCAGCAGCAAAGCTGCACCATGCCCATCTCACTTTGGTAACAGGAAGGTAGACAGCATGTTTCTGGCTGTGGGCACTCACAGGAAACAACAGCAAATGAGCTTCCCTGCTAACAGCTAGCAATACTCTGATGCAGATCTTAAGTTAGGAGCTAGGCTGTGAATTTAGCAAAAAAAATCCCCGAAAGAACAAAACAGGAAGGGTTGCCTCAGTCTTTTTCTACTACAAGAGCTCCACACTGCATGATGGATCAGCAAAGTCTTCCCCAAACTCTGACTACGAAGCCTCACTGACACAACTTCTACCCACAGCTGGCACGAGCACTCCAAGATTTCACATTAAGGGAGAACTTCATTACACTCCCAAAGTTCCGAGTTTTCCTAACATGTTAAACTCTGCCAGCAGAGACACAGAGCACCTCAACGGGGCATATGAAGAAATTCTGCAGTCACTGGCACAAGCTCACCCTGCCCCACTACATCAAATAGCAGCGAAGAGCACAACAAGCACAAATTGTAGCTGTTGGACGTCAAGTTAACGTGAGTTTCCAAGGTCTTTATGTCTGTAATTCTGTGTTCAACAGAACAGCTAAAACCACACCAGAGAAACTGAGCTGGGCACAGCAGCTCTGTACATCACTTTCCTGTGCTCCTACTCCAGTACTCACTTTGTGACCCTCGCCTGCTTTATCCTGCATGCTGTCATACATTTTCTATTCCGTAGTTAGTCTTAGAGGGCATGCACACACACAAGCAACATATTATTGCATGGTTTACTGCAGCAATACCCTGCAATTTGGGCAAATGTTCTCACGTGTCTTGCAGGCAGCAGGGCACTTGTTTTGAACCTGGAAAGAACATCACGCTCATCAATTTGCATTCAAAAAACTGGATGTCAGAAATGAGTTCTTGTCTTTTTAAATGAAATTTCTACCTTGCTCTGGATTTATTACTACATATGCATATCTTGGTTCAGAATCCAATTGATAATAAAATACAGGTACGTGTGCATGGAAATAAACATCCAAGGACTTCAGCACCAAATGCCCTGTTTTTCTGAGGGAGCACTGGCTGCATTACCTCTAACCATCTACAGCTGTTTGGATGGGACATGGTAGCACCAGCACCACAAAAACAGATCCAGCTGCTCCAGAATGAAACATTTTTGAAGGCAAAAGTACAAAACGAAGAACACAGTTATCAACCAAACAGATATAAGTCCCATGTCAGAGACAACAAAACAGGATAGCCGGCATGCTGTGAAGCAGGAGAGTTTCCAAGGGAAGCAGCCAAGTTAAAATAATATTTAAACAGTTGACAAAATAGAACACTGAACTTAGGAAGCTGCAAAAAACTTCAAAAAATTACTTGTATTGCTGTGCAGATCACAACAGAATTCAGTGTCTAACACAGAAGCAGGGCAAAGTAGTTTTAAAAAAGGAAACAAATCAAAAAGAGAGGGCATAAACTACGTGTGAGGTGTCCACTGCTGGTGACAGGTCACCTTGGGCACCTAGGCATCAAGCTGCCTAACCACTTACCTAAGGCATTAAGCAACTGTAAACGTCATCCCAATCAACTCAGCATTACAAGCACTCTCTTATGGTATATGTAGCATGAATGTTCTAGGTGTCAGCTCAGCTCTAAGGCTCAAACCCATCAGGGTTGGGAGATTCTTGCTCTTTTATTCTGAGCACGAGGGAGGGGAGCACATCTACACCAAAAAATGTTTTATAATAACTCCTCACATGGTTCAAGAACGAAAGGATCCTTATTTCTCTCTTGGAAGCAGTCCATTTGAAAAGAGACTTGAAAAGAACACAGCCAAAGGCAGGTGAACAATGGAAACCACTATTAGGCTAAACAGTATTAAATTAAAAATACATATAACAGGACTTGTATAAGTTTAGAATTAGAGTAGTGTTACCAGCTCTATCATTACATACCTGCTCAATAAAGAAGGAATTAAATTCTTATGAGTAGAATGACAAGTTTTTGCTGAAATGTTTACAGATTAAGGCTTCCCAATGTTCAGAATTTTCTGTCTTTTCGAGAAGCTATGGAGTTTATGTATGAAAAGGAGAAACTTCCCAACTCTCATTTTGCCTCATCTTAACTCCAGCAACACTTGTGCAGTTATAAAGCCTTGAGATCATCAACTTCTGCTGTTACACAAAATTCATTCATGAAAGCAATGCACCCTTCCAAACACACATCCTATTCCAACTAGAGAGATTTAAGACATTTGCTTCAATAGGAAGGTGCTATCCCACCTATGTGAAGGTCACTGCAAGGGAAACAGCATAACAATCTACCAAAAAAAAGAAGGACATCTCTTGTACTGTGCTGTCAGCACAAGGATTGGAGTCTTGTGTTACAACATTACCTCAATCCTCAGCACAAATGGAGCCCTACATCACAGAGGATGGAGGAAGCATCAGGGAAGCATTTCTACAGGAGATTAAAGTAAATTCATAAAGAAAAAATCATTTAATTTGGGGGTTTTTACTTAGCGCCATTCTTAGAGTTAATACCCTCTTTTTGTTTCCTCCCTTACAGACACTAAAGCATTATTACACTGGCTGCTCCAAGCTCCAATAACATTGCTGTGAAGCTATCATACAGCTTTACCAGATGTCTTAACTGCTTCCACATGAGCAGCACTCACCCAAGTTCCACCAAGCACCGGGACGTTTCCTCGTGCTGCAAAAAGAACACAATGCTTTCCAGCATGTGTACAGCACGCCAAGGAGAACGAGAGCTGCTCTTCACAAATGTATTTTACAGTGGAATGATTATTAAATAAGAAAATTAAAGACACTCCAACTGCATGGCGTGTGAAGAAAGCAAACTGCACCAAACTGGTTGGAATGTCTGCCTTCCATTTCCACCAGCTACCTGCAGAAACTGTCCTGGATCTAAAAATCTCAGCTCTGATCCTCTTAATGAAAGAGAAAACAAAACAGAGCACTGCTACACTACTTACATAAAATCCTGGACTGCTGAGCACAAGGAATTACTTCTGCTCCTCGGTGCTCAGCCTGGGCACCAGTGCCAAAGAGCCTCAGCACGTTAGTGCTGCTCTTGTTGTGAAATATCTTTGAAAATCCTGAGCTTAACTTGCACTCTTGAATGGAAAAAAAAGCAAGGGGATGAGCAGAAGGATTTTACTCAGTGTATTTCACACATGGTGGTAATGTTCCAACTCTAAAAACCAAGCATTCACTGAGTTCATTCCTGTAATGGTGGCAGCTAACAATTCACATGAAAAAAAAGCCTTTTCCAAAGCAACCAAGCATTTAACAGACATTGGAAACCTATTTCCTATGGTCATAGAAAAAAAAATAGTGATGTTTCATAAAGAGCTCTATGGTTTGCTCACTTCAAGTTTCATCAGGTGGCTTATGTAACATCCCCAAAAGCTCAGAACCACTCAAGAAAGCAGCTGAAAGGAACCAAAAGCTCAACACACACCTTTTCAACCCTTATGAACTGGGCTGTGTCAGATCAAGAAGCAACTTTTCCAAGCTACGTCTAAAATAAGCAATTCCTTTTTCATCAAGGGTCTAAATTTCTGAAATGAGGGAAGTGACAGCAGCAGCTTGCAGGAGTGAGAAGGAACAGCTCTTCTGGGGCAAGCAGAAAGCAAGGCCCTCTCCTTCCAACCCAAACAGCTGCTTCCCATACTGACCTAGGTATGAAATCACCATTACATTTGCACATTCCTCACCTAAATCAGTCACAGCACGTGGAGTGAACGGTCTAGTAAAAATCCCAAACACCAGAATAAAACATCAGTATTTCATCAGCCGCAGTCAGCGTTAACTCAAAAGCAACAAACACTGTAAAAAACCATCCTGAATCATTTAGGAAGTCAGGTTTGGAATAAGGCTGAACTCAGATGCAAAGGTTATGAGGCTGCCCAGTCTGACAGCTAACCCTACTGCTATGTTCTCTATTCCAAAACCACGTGAGCTGCAGAACTAAAAGTAAAAACAAACCTCTTCTGTGCCACTGTGGCTGAGCTAAGCAGCATCTCTGCACACTCGCAGCATAGCAGTACCGTAGTGGGAAAGCTGCCTTGGGAGAGCACTGCAGTGTTTGTGTGTGAATCAGCTTAAAAGCTTACAGACACATAGTTGGGATTTCTTATGACTGTGCTCACTTTTCTCCTCCAGCATCCTCAGGCTGGTCTTGCAGCCACTGGGCAGCTCCGGGCCATCAGCACAGGTAGATCATCGCCATCACTGCTAAAATTCCAGAGGCCCTTTTCAGCAGCACCTGGAGTTGGGCCAGAAATTGTTTTTCCACCCTTCTGGTATCCTAAAGTCTGACAACAAGGTCTGAAATTTTTAACCTGTTGTCTTTGTAATTCCTGACCCGTCAAAGATTAAAAACAGAAGGCAAAGTTGAAAACCTCTTTGTTTCTTCCCTATTTTTAAAATATGACCCCCCAAAAAAAGAGTTAATTTGTTTTATTGTGTTTTCTTTTAAACGAGCAGATAACAGATAGAATGCTTTCAGCTCACCTCCTTCCAGCAAACCACTGCCAGAAGGAGCTGCCTGGCCAACTTCGGTCTGACTTCAGCATAAATGAGACCCAAACCCTCAGAAGAGAGGGTGGCATTTTGCAGGAGATGGGCTTAGGGGAAAAATACTCTCGTTCCCATTCATCCAGGCTCTTACTTTATCAGAAACCATTCCAGGAGGCAGGAGCTTAAACAGTAAGGTCACTTATAAAGCATCTGCCAGAAACAGTCTTTTCTCTCTCTCTTGTTTGGAAGATAAGCCTGTTGATAAAAGCACTTCTGCAAAGACTGAAAATGAACAGTGAGCATAACTTAAGAGTAGAAAGTATTACATTTATTTCCAAAACAAACCTCACAGGACCAGGCAAAGCTCTAACCTTACTCACGAAAAGCTATGGAAAGTCTTTGTATGCTGACAGTTGTAAACTCCTGGGAGCACAGAATGAGTCAAACAAATACCTGGCACCAGCACCAAAACAAGCAGCAGGGAAAAAAGGTAGAAGCTGAATTGGAAAGACTTGCCAGCGTATCCCCAGCCCTTAATCCATCTGCCAGCTGTCCTGATGCTGGTTCACACTGTGCTGAATCCCTTCTCTAGCACAGCACCCTGCCTGTAAAGCTCGCTCTGACACACTGGCTGCTTCCTGCAGCAGATTTTTCTTGAAATTAAACTACAGCACTAGAAGGAATTCAATCCAATTCTTTTAAAGACAGGTAACATATTCATTGCTGATTAGCGTAGACCTAGAGAACAGATTCAAATTTAACACAGGTGTTGGCAACTGGTTGCCATGGATCTCCCAGGACGTTTAGCATTTCAGTACCAAATCCACACACGCTGCTTTGGACAAATTTGCCATGAAGACAGGGCTACCAGTTTGTATTCTGTCAGCTACAGTGCATGCAGATGAATCCTAATGATTGTGGACTGAATGATAACTGAACTTTCTGACATCTGAGCTTCTAGAAACCTGCCAAGGGAATACATCATCTTCACCCAATCACCACAGCTGCAGGAGAGATGCCTTCTTTCAAAGCTTAACATCGACTGAAGCTCGTGAATAAATTTAACCAAACACAACTGCTCTTCTCAGAGCCTGTTCTCTACTTGCCATCTTCAGTCACCACACCAACACCGATGTTGCCCTTACATCTTTTAGGAAATGGTGACCTGACCTATTACATAAAGCTCTCCATGCTTACTAGGAGTAATGTACCCCTGGTAAAGTGTACTCATCAAAAAACACGTTCTAAGCAGCAATACATCGTTACAAGCTGAACCAGAAACTTTCTGAAGCACTTCAAAATTCAAGAACACAACTTTGATTCATTGAGAGTTTCAAGATCCATTTGTCTTGCCCAACCAAAGAAAACCTCACCAGTTTCTGCAGCATTTTGATATCCCACAACATTAGTGCCTCAAACACGTAAGGAATTCCACTGGTTAGTTCACAGATACCAACTCCAAATTCATCCAAACCACCAAAGTACTGCTCCTGTCTGCTAGTCAATCAGAATACAAGAAATAAAGCACCTATTTTCCCATTAGACCATAGCATGAATTGATATGAAACCACACTTCCTCGCAGGAAAAGCTATCTCCTCCCAGGCTGACCTTGTTGGGATGCAGAATCGATCCAGCCCTGGACCAGGATCTGCATGAAGAGGACTTTATCCTTTCTGAGACCCAGCCCTGTAGCCCAGCCTGGTGTGCTATACCTGGTGTGCTCAGCTGATCAGTCCTTGGTAACACTGCTGCACTTTGCAGGGCAAGGAGCAGTACACAACCTGCACCTGCAATGTAAAACCTAACTGCAAATGTATGTTCAATTACTACAGCAAGTACAGAAATCACACCAAGATGATACTGTGGAGCTGCAAAACTCTTGAAACTTTGGGCCAAATTTGATTTAGACTGAGGAAGAATGTACCCCCTTGAAGAACTAGAAGTTGAGTAGGTCCAGCCTTCCTGAATCTTTCTGAATCTACCTTAGACTCCAAGACAGTGGCTTTGCTTTGGTAAAGAGCTGGTCCCCGTAACTCAGTTTCTAAAAAGAGAAGAGAAAGTTTCCCCACCACCTTCTATTGGCAACTCACTTGCATCTTTTCCCAACTGCCAGCAGCAACATAATTTATTAGGGTGCATTAGCTATGAGTCTCTGCAATCCATCCATTGCTGCTCCAGAAACAAATGTCAATACTTCACACTACTACAGCGACATTAATAGAGACAGGAGCCTGTCTGAACTGTGAAAATCTGTTCCAAGTCCATCATTCTCATGGAACCACCTCAGTTATAAAGAACTAACTTATCACATCGCTATGATCAAGCTGTAGAATTAATTTTGTTTCATTTGTTTACAAAACATCACCTGTAGAAACTGTCTAACACCGGTTTAAGCACAGACACTTGAGGCATTTGAACATGCAGCTTCTCAAAGGGCTGGCAGCTGAAGCAAGGCAGCAGGGCTGAACACACACTGCCTGGCAGCAACACACCTCTCCCTCCTCCTGCTCTCCCCATCGCTACTTTCTCCCCACAAAACCTTGGTAAGTCAACTCACCTTTAGAGCTTCCCTCCTGTATCCCACTTGCTGGCCCCAGAGCCTGATTGCTGCTCACGTTTACCACCAGACCCAGCCAGTCAGAGCAGCATCTCCCATGTTTTCAAAACAAATAACTTTTGCTTTGTTGTGGCTACGCACAGGCATGTCAGTAAAGGGGACTGCTACAGGAAATGCTGGCACAGAAATCTCAGGGAGCTCTCAGTGCCTCAGAAATCTCCTAATGCAGAAAACAGATAAAAGGTGAAGCGTACAAGACCGATAGGGGAACACTAAAGCAGAAGTATTCTTATTAGTAAAACACTTTGACATTCTTTCTGATCCCTGCAGCACTCCTATCAGCACAAAAACAGAATCAGAAGCATCAATACCCTTAACACTTTTCCTAGCATCATTTAGAAGCCAAAGGGGCTGGAACATTTTTCTCTTTTAAACCTAACTGAAAGGCTTAAACGAAATAAGCACACCAGAGTTTTTAAAGGGGCCACATTTCATAAGAAGCCTAAGATGAGACCTGCCATACATGGTCAAAGCGTTCACCCACCATCCCACAGGCCACACCAGCAGGTGTCTGTGCAGCGAAGCCCCACGCTGAGCACTGGGTTAGCACCCAGCCCGACCCCAGCAGAGCAGCGTGTGCCTCCTGCCCCCCTCACTGTGCTACGAGGAGTTCAAAGCCCACAGGCCGAAGCTGATGGACATTTGCGTTCTCGCCCGTTTTGCAGCCCCAAATCCACACACACAGAGGCCGTGAACCCAGCGCTCCTCGGGTCCCTCAAGCACCGCAACGCCCAACCACGGAGCTGCACATGAAAGCTCTTCCTTCCTCTCAAACGCCGCTCGCTGAGCTTTTCCCTCGCGCTCTCCAATCATTCCACTTGAAAGCTCACAAAGGCTTCAGTTTTTTTTTTTAGCTCCCGCGCCTCTTTCATCCCACCAGACCGTAACACCTCCACGGCCAGCCCACACCCGGAGCGCTCGCCCCGCAGCGCCGGGCCACCGCCACCGCCACCTCCACCCCTCCATAACGGCAGCGCACATCGGAGCGCTTCCCGTTTCTGCGGGCCGCACGGCCCGGGGCTCACGGCGCGATCTCATCGCAGCGACCTCATCGCAGCGCGCCCCGCACAGCCCCCGCTCCCCCCGCAGCTCCGTGCCGCGGTGCCGCCCCGCGAGGCGCCGCCCGGCCGCCGCCGCCGCCCCGCCGCAGGCCCGGCCGGGAGGGCCCACAAAGGGCGGCGCGGACGGCAGGTGGGAGCGGGCCGCGGCCGCGCACTCACCGGAGCCGGGGCGGCGCCGGCCGCCTCCGGGACGGACGAGCGGGCAGCGGGGCGCGGCCGCCACACGGCGCCTCTGCAATGGCGGCGGCGGCACCCACCGAGGCGGCGGCGGCAGGAGCCGGAGGGGGAAGCGGAACCGCCGCGCGTGGCCACAGCCCGCGAGGGGCGGGGCGGCGCCGCCGGGACTACGGCACCCGGCAGCCCTCAGCGGCGCGGGGGCCGAAGGGAAACGCAGTGCGCCGCGCGGGAAAGCGGGCCGCCGCGCTCCCCTCAGCTCCGCTCTCCTTCCCTGCGGCGCGGCCTCAGCCGGCCGCCGCTCCGGGCCGCCCTCAGAACGCTCAGCGCTCTGCCGCCCTCTCCCCTCACACGTCTTTTCACGAGACGCTGCTTCGCTGTGACGTTAATTCGCCACTCAGAAAGTTTTAACTCCCAGCACAGCCTCCAGCGCTCCCCTTTCTCGCCGTCACCCCCTTAAGTCGGTCACTACACCTATTAGCGACGTTGTACCCGAGCTTTTATCTGTTCTCTCGCAAGAGTCAAGCTGTCACCGCCATCACCCCCCTTCTCCACAGAACGCTCCCACACGGCTCCCCCGCCCCCAGCAGCGATCCCTGCAGGACCGGCACTGACGTTCAGCTCCACCCGGCACAACACCGGGGCGCACCTGTAGCTCCTGGTGCCACACAAAAGGCCACCGAAACCCCTCCTGTGCCCCCCCAGTCCCAGCAGCTGCGCTTCAACCTGTTCTGAGGTCACTGTGTTCAGCGCTGACAGCGCTGAGCCCCTCCTGCCAGCTTCTCACCCGAGCAGTCACTGATCTCACCAATGCAGACTTCTCGCACTGTCACACACACCACCAGACAAACCATCTTATTTTACCTCTTGCAAAGTTTTCAGCTGTCCCAATGAAATGAGGTTCCTTTCACCGAGCTCTGATGTCAGGCAGCTTTAGCCAGCCCGTGCTTTTCAACTGCTATTACCTGACACTTAAGAAATCCTGAGCTTTCAGAAGGCAAAGCTTCCAGCCGAGCTGAGCAGCGATCTGGAAGCACTGCCCTTCCACCAGTCAGACTGCTACACAGAACACACAAGGACAAACTCAACCCTGGGAATTACAGATGCCACTGAGAGACGAGCGTTCAGTACCTATTCAGGGCATCTCTTCTCAGCCCTGTGGCACTGATACGGTTAAAGAGCTCTCTGCGATTGTTCTCTTTAATTCCTCCCTTCCCCCACACAGATGCAGAGCATGACGCCTCTGAGGTAGTGGATGAAGTACTGGCGCAGCCACCGTCATTCAGCACAGCCAGGGGAAAACAAGAGCCCACTGTCAGAGCACTTGCCAACCTGTCGCGGGCAAAGTCACAAGACGAGCTCTCTATTGAATTCCAGCAGAAGCAGAGGAAGGATGCCCAGGGGATCCTGAAGCTACAGCTGGACAGCAATGAAAGGCTGATTCTGCTGGAGAACAGTCTTGGCTGCATATAAAGGAAGATAGAATTTGAAAACCAGAACGTTCATTGATCCCTCTCACACACACCCTGAAAAATCACCTGCTCTTAACTAACTGAGCTTATAAGGAATGAATGAAATTTTCTCTATCAACAGTTCTGAGCTACTGTAAGGTCACAATGCCACCTACTGACGATTGAAAACAGCAACCGAGTCCTGCTAATCTAGAGCAACTCAGTTTTTCCATTAAGTAATTTCCTCTCCATTTCCTTGTATTTATCAAACTGCTCTGATGGCTGAATTCAAGTCTTCTAAATATTTGCTTCTAGTTTGTATCTTTTCACCAGCTTACATCTTCCAAGGGTTATTTCAGCTTCAGATATAGGGTGAGATTTCCTTCGGATTTTCTAAGCTCTTTGAACTGAAGGATTTGAGCAAGAGCAGCTAATCCCACCTCCCCCCCCCCCCCCCCCCCCCCCCCCCCCCCCCCCCCCTTTCCCCCCAATTACTACAGAATTGTACAGATTGTTTTTTAAGCCTTCTGCTGTGACAAGTAAGCAAAAAATGCCTCTTCCCAAATCCATATATGACTCATCTGGACAGTGTAAACAAACTTCAAATTCAGGAACTTGAAGGATGAGATGTTTTTCATACCCTTAACACCCACTTCTCAAGTCTGTTCACTTAAATTCAAGAAATACAAACACCTCTGCAAGGAGAAGCACTGTAGCCAAAGCAGGCTGAGGCCTAGGGTAAGGAATAGGAGATAGATTCTGCTCCTGACTGCTGCCACCTTTGTGCAAGAGAATGACAGTCCCTTATGGCATCCTCATGCATTACCAAGATGTTAATAACAGTAAAGTTGTGCTGGACGGAGCTCAGCCATTTTGCAGTTCTTTATTCCAAGCAGGTCACCAGAGAGAAGTCTCCATACTTGCATACAGCAGCAAGAATCAGGCTGGAACAGAGCACGGTGGCAAGAAGAGTCATGACACACACTAAGAAACTGTGTTGTGTGAGCCCCACCGGGACCCGCAGAACCAATTCTTCATACTCCTACAAGAAAAAGTAAATTGGTTATACACATTTAACCAGCTTCTGTTGTTGGTTGTTTTTTTGTTTTGTTTTTTAACTGCAACTCGGGAGATCAGTAACTAGACTTCTATTTAATTTGGCCTTTGCCAAGGCTTGATTTTGAATCCCAAAAGAAAGCTGAGATGGGACACAGTCTTTTCAATTTACTGCCCTTACAGAGAGCCAGTTGCTCTTGTTGTACAAAGCTCAATAAATGAATCTATTCCATTTTAAATGGTAGGCATTTGTATGCTCTGTGGCTTTGTTCTTCCTTCAAGTTTGCCAGCAGAGATGCTCTCAGAATAAGCATTCTACAGATCACCGAGAAGCCACTTTTCTCCAAGGTAAACAACTATTTGGTTTCTCCGTGACGCAGAAAGCTGCAAAACATTTTTGGATGACAGCTGTTTGTATTCTGAAGCTATCTTACACACAGGAAGGCACACACATTACACAAAAGATTAGTTATGAAACAAATTCGTCTTATTTCTGAATCTTTAGACTACCAGAAACTGTTCAAGTTTCAAAGGTAGCTGTTGGCCGTACTAAAATTCTAACTGACTTGGTTCACCTTGACACTTAGCCAATCTGATGGCAAACAGCAGCAGCCTTTTTTTAAGAAGTTATTCCTTTAACTTTTGATCTTTCACGTCTTTTTTTTTTTTCTTATTAGACTGCAGCAGAGTTCTCCCATTTTGAACTCATCCAAAAAAACCTACACTGCAGAGGCCATTCTTAATTCAACTAGTGCCAATTACAGCACTGTCAATTCTAGGACTCCAATTCAACTACTTAGGGGAGGAGGAAAACAAAAGAAAAAATGTAAAGGTGAGGAGAGCAGCCACCACCAAGGGCACAGAACAGCACAGGATGACACCCATTAAAACCAGGTCAAAGAGGAAGAAGGGAGCTTCTATAAGAAGTTACACAATGAGGCTTTTATCAGTTAGGTCCCGTGCTTTGGAAGCTGCTCATCTCAGAAAAAGGCAGCAATTGTTCAGCAAGAGGCAAGAATTTCCTTCAGAAATAGGAACTCACAGGTTGGTGTGTTGCACTGTACCACTGACAGAGGTGGTCCTTATTCCCTGAACAGGGAACTCCCACTTCAGCAGGCTGCCAGCACTCTGACGACGGGTGCTCTGTGGAAGACAGGTACAGCAGATAACTAAGGATAAATCTCACCCATGAGCTGTCTTTAACAGAGCAAAGAATCCATCGTTGACCTGCAGATCTCTCAAATCTAGCCATGCAGTTACAACTTCTAGATTCCTCAAAACTACAGAATTCATTCTTCCATGTCTTCCTGTTGACCTCCTATTGTCACATACCCGAACTTCCCTATGATACCATAAGTGCTTTTATATCAATAATAAATGTTTTCCTATTCATCAGAATAAAATATGGCAGAAAAAAATAACGGGAAGATTTCACGCTCCTTTTCTCTAACCAAGCAGACTTTCTGCCTTTAGGTTTATCCCAGAAAATCAGTGCTCAAATAACACTAAAATGAAGATTAAGAAGCTGAAAATCACTAGCATATTTAACTTGGGAGCTAGCAAGAATGATTTCATGAAAGAAAATATAATTTGGGGGGAAAATGAAGGATACAGATGTTCACATAAAATACTCATTTGGATACCAGGTTCTTGTTTCAGAAGAATCTGGGAACAACAACCATCATAAAACATGCTTTCTCCCTCTTCTGCCCCATTCAAATGCAAGAAGAAAGGCTTGAAACCCACTAGAATACTTTGATTAAGCATTTGACCAAGTATCTGACAGAGAATAATTTTAAATACACACTGCATGGCTTTAGCTGTCAAGAGAAATACTGTGAGAACACATGGTCCAAGTAGTTGACCTTAAACAAACCAGAACCTCACCATCACAGCAGCAGACCAGTATTTCTGCACTCTTCAGAGCAACCAATGCATCCTCACTGTTTTCTGCTGGCCGGTGGTACCGCCCATGCACAGGCAATGCTGCTCTGAAACAGGGCCAACAGAGAGGGTCGGGCTGCAGGTACAGCAGGACAGTAAAGTCTGTAGCTGAGTACTCAGGAGCCTCCACATCAACAACATCAGGAATTAGCACTGCCTGCAAGCAAATAAAGATACAGATATGGCTGCTACTGGAATCAACACAGAAGAGTGATACAGAAAAAAAATGTATGAACATTTTGTGTATGAATCTGAAATTAAGGAGGACACGGTCTGCTGCTGTAATCTACTGCAGCATCAGAAGGGACAACTGCAACCCCTGCATTCACACACTGCCCTCCAGTGAACTGTAGAGAAGTCTACAGTTGGAGTTTATTCTGTGTGTACAGGAAGGGTTTCACAT